ACAAGGACTTGGCAGGTTCCCTTGCAGTTCTAGCAGTTCATTAGTATTGTCTTTGGAAGCTACGGTACAATACTACTTTCAATTTAAGCATGATGAAAATTTTTCTTTCTGTTGAGTTAAACTTACTGAGATGCTTTTATTTATCATATCATTACAAGTAAGCCACAAGTCAATCTCTCCTTTTACAAAGTTAACATTTTTGATCCAAAGGACATTCATGATTATGAAATTAAAGTTTTTCCCTTTCCAAGTGTCTATAAGATATCAGATAACTCTTTACTACTCCCAAGTTCTTTGGCCAAATTTTAATTGCCCTAGCTGTCTAATGAAACCACTGTTCTTCAAGTCACTATATTAGGAACCCTAATTATCAATTACCTTTAACTTTTTAACTCTCATGAGTGACAAAGACAGAATTTCTCCTTACAATGTCAATACAATATCAACCAGATAAGTGATGAGAATAGAGAAAAATATCAGTTTGGGAATAATTAGTTGATCTGATACTAAATTCTCTGAACTAACATCATAAAAAATTGTATGGTTGACAGTAAGGAGAAGTACAAATTTGATCTGGGAGTTAAAGGGTTAAAAAACTATGACCACTTTTAGAGCTGATAGTAAGTACAGTTTATTATAACTACATGATCAGTATCAAATTACCAATGAGTTGCTTCTCTTGTTCAAGAAATCTTCTGATGATGATGATGAGATGGATTTCAACATGAAATCCAAGGAGAGCTCAAAGGAGGATGATATTCAAGCCATCTGTGAGATGCGTGGAGCAGGACGGAATGCTCCCCTTGCCCTCCAGTTGAAGGCCATTGATGAAGAGTATCACTACCTGCTGGATCAAGGACAGTCTGACAGGGCAGACTATGTTCAGAAGTTGTACGCATGGAAATCAAAACAGGCTACACAGGTGAGGGAATCTTGAACTAGAGATGTAGGTCAGACCTCTGTTAATAGTGGACTAATGCCTTGTCCATCTCATGTATTACCCCTAGCAGTTTGTCAAGGAACAGTAACATTTTCACTTCTGAAGCATCTATAATGATGCAAAGTAGATATTTTGTGTAATGTATTTTCATGAGTACTTTTCCTTTTTCCAAATAGTCCTACCTTTCGAAAAGTTGTTGAATTAAATTTTTGCTACTTCAATTGAAAAATACTAACTACACCATTCCTGTCTGATTGCCAAATGTGAATAGGAGATGAATGTGCATAGTTGTGGATTCCTACTTTGGTTCAGTGCTACCCATTCTCCAAACTTTACATTGTTTGTTTTTGTAATGCAATCAGTACCAGCCCCAACAAGTTGCAGAGAAAAGGTATTTGTCGATTATTCAAGTGTGAACATTGGTAAATTTATGTGGGATCCTGTCTACAGAACAAAACAGCTCAGCTGGCAAGCAATGAAGAGGAATCCCTCGGCAAAGCCTACCTAAAATACTTAGATGCCCTGGTAAATGGAGCTGATAATCACTTGTACAACTTGCATGTTGGCAGAATGCTTCTGCTTCAAAGCAAACCAGAAGAAGCTGTGTATCGTCTTCAAGTGGCTGTGGGATTAAAGCCCACCAATCTTGAGGCAAGGTCAGTTTGAAAAACAGAAGGATGTAGGACGCATGTCATATATGAACTTCATAACAGGCCTCGCTCACCATAGAGTCTCTGTGGCTCAGTAGTAGAGCATTGGAGTGCAGAATCCGGAGGTCTGAGGCTGAGTTCCTTATGGGGACTCAGAAAAAATGTCTTTGTCTATTTCCTGACTGAGCTTAAAACTTACGATCTTTCTTATTCCATTTACAAAGGTCAATGTAGTGTGTGATATGTTTTGTGATTTTTGTGTGTTGTCCTTGGCAGATTTTACCTTGGCTTGGCTTTGAGCCAACAAAAAGATGGTCCTGGCAAAAGGAAAAATGAAGCTGTTAAATATTTGTCAGAAGGGATTGAACATCTGCTCAACCAAATGACCCTTGATGCAAATGACCCAGGCAAGGAAAATGAAAGATGGCAACAAATAAACCTGTCGTCCAACAACTTGGCGAGACCTGATAACATACAGTGGCTGCAGGGATGTGGTCTCCTTAGCAATGTGTGCAAGCAAATGACAAAACCACCATCAGGTGTTATGTCCAGAGTGAACGTCCTTCATGCTGCTGCCATGCTTGCATCTCACGTTTTGTCACACCTTGTAGCCAGAGGTGACACCTATCATCAAGCTGAGTGGGTGTTATACGAGACTCATTTTGCTCTCCTTCAGATGAAGCTGGATGATGCCAAGGCCGTAGGGAATCAAAAGAGTGGCGAGATTTCTTCTTTTTGCGAGAATTTGTCTGCTTTACTAAACTGCTCGGTCATTCCACCTGGAAAGCAAATTCTTGAACTGAAAGAAAAGGTGAGAATTGTAGAGTCCTCTCGTGACTCTCTGTTTAATCAAAAGTGTCCAATTGTTGCTTTGATTAAATGAATGCTTCTGCAAATTTATTTTCAATGGGTAGCCGTTGTTGTTTGATTTCCATCTCTAGTATTTGTCCAGTTGTTGCTCTGATTAAAAGAATTTTTCTAAATATTAATTTACCATGGGCAGCTCTCTCTTTTTGATTTCCATCTCCAGTTTCTTAAGGCTTCATAATTTTCATGTACTGAAAATATTAATATGACTTGTTCATTTTCAGACCTGCCAGCAAGCTGTGCTACTTCAGTCATGTAACAGCCGTGCTCTATATCGCTTGGGTGATGCCCAGCTGAGCCTCTACGACAATGATGACCCTACCTCTGCTAATGCTAAGCAAACTCTCAAGGATGCTGAGCTGAGCTATCGAGCGAGCATTGAGCTAGAGGGCTCCTCTTCCATAGGTGGAGAGGCGCCGGTAAAGATCACTGAACAACGGTGGTTTAAAGAACAGGAAGCGAAGAAAGAGGCAGAAAAGAAAACAGCTGCAGCAGGAGGAACTCCTCAGAAGACAGCTTCATCGCAAGCTGGCAAGGCTGCATCCCCTGCTGGGCGAGGTGGCAACCAAGCGGGAAGAGGTTCATCCACACCAAGTGAGTGACTTAAGTTTTTCATTACAGTAGCGTTTGTAAGACTTGCGTTTCCCTTAAATTTAAGAAGTTGTGGAAGCCACCCTGAGTTGCCCCTGCCCCACGAGCTGTTCATGTCATTTCCACTGGCAAATTAAGCAAATTAAGCTTCCTATCGAGGAGATCAATACTAGGCGATTTTGAATGGCTGATGAAGTAACGCTAGGAGGAATAGCATGAGGATACCTTGAAAATACAAGAAAATACCTTTTAGAGGATGAAAATTACTGGGCATGTAAACCTATATGAGACGCAGTGATTCTCAACAGATCCTGCCATACGACTTTTTCAAAAGCCCTAAAGATTTTCCCTTGCTCTTAGACACACACATCAAGACATGTGCCCCTCTTATTAAAAGCTGCGTACTACACAGGAAGGTTCCGCAGTTTTCGACCATAAATTAAACTTGCCGAAGTACAATGCTTTCAGTTTTTTTTTCTTACGTTTTACACTTTATTTACCAGCACGTAGTAAACCTACCATGGGAGGACGAGGTAGCTCACCCTGCCACAGGAGGGAGGGGTGCTGCCACAGGAGGGAGGGGTACTGCCAGAGGAGGGAGCACTCTAACTACCAACAAACCATCAGGTATTTTATATTACATTACGTCTCAAAACCAAAGACTTCTCGAGCCCTTGCACCGTCGTTCCGAATTTAAGGACTGTATTTGAGACTGGTTTCGAGCTTTCTATCCCGGATTGAGCATTGAATTAATTACCAGATTTTAGTCGTTTTCAGTTACTGCTCTTCAGCCGTACGAACATTCAACGTGTTACAAATAATCTTGGAATTTTCAGCTTCTCAACGTTTTCCGGATTTTTAGCCATCACTTATTGTACAGCTGTACCCACGTTTAACTTATTTTTACATATGTTGCATCACTCTCGTATTTTTTAATACTTTGATTCATTAAGCTGTCCACGTCTTTACTTCCAGCTCATAAATCTGGGACATGCTCACCAACCAAGCCACAAGCCTTGTCCAAACAGTCATCACAAACAAAGCCAGTCGCACAGAGCCCAACAACACCATCCACGCCGGTCAAACCTGCCACGTCCAACCCCACGACTGAACAGAAGCCCAGCGGACCACCCAACAAACCTTCCTACAACGCTCGTTTGGGATTGGCCCGCGTGCTTATGCGTAAGGGAAGTGACAGCATCAGTGAAGCTCACAAGTTTTATGAAGAAGTAATCTCAATGGCACCATCAGTTCACGATGCTTACATTGAATTAGCGGACTCTCTGATCAAGTCCGACCCTATGAAGGCTGTTGATACTTACAGCAAGTACCCGTTTAAGGAGCCGCTGACGTTTGATGATGCATACATCTACGGTGAGATGGTTCGTTTGTTGATGAAGAATCAGAAATACGACGATCCCAGACTGGGTCCAAGTATGATCTCGCTTGGTAAAGTAATGGGTCTGACTGTCTTGGAGAAGTACGTTGAAACACTCGACAAGACTTTCAAGTATAGTAAACTGCTTAAGCAGGTGTATGCTGGAGTTCATAGTAAAAGCGTCGATGATCCGGATTTGCAGCAGTTTTTCAAGTTTAAATGTTGGGTTTGAGAATGCGATTGCCAAAGAAGAATACCTCTAGGCCCTCTATGTCATAACATTGCTCCGGTAGAGAATCGTATTTTGACAGTTTTACAGTTGTATTTCGAGAGTTGAGCATAGGTCTTATACTCCTCAATCGTGAAACTAGAGCACATTGACTCGTGCGTTGGGTTAAATGTATTTTCCTTCGATGCACATGGCACTGAACAGCGGTTGCAGTCAAGAGATGTCAGTAGCAGTTTTTCGATTGCAAGTGTTTGGTGTGTGTAAGTGGGCCGCTGGTCAATTTTTTTGTCGTTCTAGTTATCTCGCAATAGTCTTAAAAGAAACTGAACTTGTTTTTGATCGATATTTATTTTCTTGTATTTATTCACTGACAGTGTCTCAAAGGCACTGACAAATGCCCTTACTTAAGCATTGATATGTTACTCGTTTTGATACAGCATTGCCATTTTAAGAAAAAAGTGCTAACTTATTTTTTATGTTTATAAATACTGAAATAAATGTTATGGTGCTTTTAACCTATCGTACTCACTCATGCGCTTTCAGTACCGTCAGACGTTTGAAAAACCAATATACCAGTGTACTCGTGCAGTATAATTTTTTTATAATTTTGCTACTGTATTCAGTATAAAGACAGAAGGAAAATAATTACCCAGAGAATTTAGCCTCACCTTAGAAGCTGGCCAACGTATTGCATAATGTTTAAATATATTGTTACATAAAAAATTAATCTTCTCTTTTCAGTGAAAATATCGTGAAATATAGCACAAAATCAGAAACACCTGTTTCAGTTTTATCATTGATTTAAAGGGGTTTCTGCGATTTATCTTCATTCGAGTCGACTACCACTGACACATGTTGCATTTGGCCTTTTTCTATGAAATGGTTTGAAATTCTGTTACACTTGAGTTGGAAAGTGGACATTTACGATAGCAACAGCCTTATGTTTTACCTGTATGTTTAACGTATATACTCAGTCAAGGTAATTCTTACCAAGAACTGAACAATGAAACCCAGTACATTTGTTTTCTTTCTTATTTACAAATCTGCATGAAAGGAATCGTGTTTATACGTCTGTGAACACTTGACGGAAACCTTACATAATGACTCGTTCAAAAGACAAATTACTTCGAAGACTTGGTTTTTTTGCTGTGCTGGAATTTCCGTAGAATCGTTTTGATCTTTTTCTTGCTTTTGCTTTTGCTTTTGCCCCCTAGCTCGTCTTCGTGTTCGTCTTCAGTTTTTTCGTGGTGTTCAATTTCGTTTGGATCACTGCCCTCACCAGGGTGACTTGCTTCACTGGTGAAGGAGAGCTGACTTCCTCGTCGTGACACAGGTTCAGAATATCTTGATCTGTCTTCGCTGCTGATCGAGTCTCCTATTTATAAAGCAATGACATTTCATACTTACAAGACATTTAAACTAACGAGAGAAATAAGTGCTTAGTTTCTGCTGGATAATGGTACCCTGTTACTTGTTACTTCTTCTGTGATGTAAAGTGATCTCTAGGTGGCTGTGACATATTTTTCCCATAGTTTCCTGCTGTTTGTGAAAGTCTTTAAGAGTGTACAAACAGACTAGTGATTCCTATTAGGTCGTTGTCTACCACAAACGAGAAATTCCAAGAACTCTTTGTTACTTTAGCTTTACCTCGAGTACTATCTTCTCAGGTAGACCAATTAAAACGACCATACATAACTTACCGGATCCAATAAGTGTTTTGCCATATTGGTCGTCATCAGTGTCTTGTTTCTGGAGCTCTTCGGAAAGATTCAGTGGCGATAATTCCTACGTGAAAGTTAACAAAAACATTCAGAGGATTGATCAAGAAAAACAATGGAAAGTCTGCTTTTATCATCTTAGAAGCTTCCAAAGTGACATGGCATCTAATAATCCTGAGATGGTGTCATCAAAAATACTATACAACGTCTTCATTTTCACGAATTAGAGATGCGCCTCTTGTTGTGTTTGTTTTGAAACATGTTATTATGATTAAATTTATTCAATGGCAAATAAAATATTTTTGAAACGTAGAGGAGACGTTTTCTCACATACCGGACCTTGCGAATCTTCTTTTGACGTTTGCCGCTGGCAGAAAGTAAGATCGCTAATCACTCTATCGTGTAGATGAGTCGTGTTTTGTTTGACTTGTTTTTCCTGTAAACTCCTGCGCGATGTGCTCCTGTCACCGTGAGACACAGATCCCCAGAATGGCAGTTCATGCGACGCGGAGTCGTCACTACAAGGTCCATTTAGTCTCCTTGAGTCTTCCCTAAGCCTCTCAATGTCCAACTGCAATTTCCTATTCTCACTTTGCAAGTTTACCAGCTCTTTCATGGTTCTGTAGCTCTCTGCTTTAATGTTTGATAGATCGGATTTTAGTCGCTTGTTCTCAGATTTTGTTGCAGACATGTTGCGTTCAAATTTGGCCTTTTCTTTCTCCACTCTTGCCATCTCATCTTGGAGAATCATCGCCTGTTGTTGCAGATTGTTATTCTCTTCTTTGATGTTCGAAACCTCCTTCTCCATCCGTTTCACAGATAAAGCCTTGTCGCACATTTTCGTTTTCAGGTGGTTGTTTCTGCTGAGTAGCTTTTGCACTTGACTCTGGAGATCTGCGTTGTGCTTTCTTATAATGGCCAACTCATTTTTAACAAGAACATTGCTGCATTTCGTCTCTGCGAGCTCCTTTTGCATCCTTTGAAGGACCCGTATTTCTGAACCCACTATGGAGCTATCCTCTGACGAGATTTGATCAGAAGAGATGCTTACGTCGAGATCTGTGATCGAAACGAGAGAGCTGCTAGTATGGACCTCCATACTCGAATCATGGTCATCCGACTCCACTTTTTCAGCTCCGTCAGCTTTGTAATGCTTTTTATGCAAAGAGGAACTTTCCTTTAAGGCTTTTCTTTGGTGTTTTTTGCGCAAACTTTTTCCCACTGAGATCGCCTCCAGCTCAGTACTTTCCACGATATTTCTTTTAGCAAGAGGTAGCAGCGATGATGATTCGGCGCTCACTGCGGCGCGGTGTTCTCTTCCATTGTCACCTTTTATCAAAGTGGGAACTTCATTTTTCTCCATTTGACGTTGCTCATCACCAAATCTGTTTCCAAATGTTTCAGATTTAAGATTGACTTCGACAATAGGAGTAGGAGTGACTGGAAACTCATCAGTTGTTGTTCCTTCTTCATCGCCTTTAACCTGATTTGCTTCTGTGGATTTTGGACTAGCTAAATGCAATTGATTTGTAAGATCTTCACCAAGCCGAGAATGTTGTGTAATAGACGATGTAGACTTCCTTGAAGAATGTGTCCTATCTCCATCGCTTTCATCTTCTGTCGTTCTCGGTGAAAATTGCGTACAGTTGTCTGTTATTTCCATAATCTTGAAGCTCTTAAGCATGCTGTTTTCGGCTTTGAGAGCTGAAAGCTCTGCAGTCATTTTTGAGTTCTCATCAAGAACACATGAAAGTACTGTTTCCAATTTGGCATATCTTTCACTAATATCATACCACTGTCCTTCCGTTGTGTGTTTTGATACACTTGCATTTTCGGCTCTGGAGCGAAGTAACTCACCTTCCACTGCCTCTCTTGTTTCAATTGCATCAGACAACTCGATCTCCAGTCTTGCTTTCTCACTTTCAAGTTTTTTCTTAGCTTCCTCGATTGAATTCTTTTCTTCAAGGAGGTCTTGCATATTTTGCTGGAGCTCTTCGTTTTCCTCATCGTTTAGAATCTGTTCCTTCAAGACGGCTTCATTCTGCGTTTGTAATATAGCTACCTTTGCTCTGAGTGATTCACATTCACTCAACAACGAGACGATTTCTCTTTTCATGGACAGCTGTTGTTCTTCAAGTGAGCCAATTTCTTGTTGATTCTTCTCATGGTCTTCAGAACGTTGTTGTAACTCCGACTTTAGGTTGGAGATTGTCCACTCCAATTCACGTCTTGATCTTAAACTCAAGGACTCCTCCTCTCCACCGTCGGGAAGATCTTCATCCCGTTGTACATCTTTCTGAGGAGGACTCACGGTCAACTCATCTTTTTTAGAACCATCTTCAGGCTCACTAATTATTTCTTGGTTATTTTCACCATTCCTTAGAGTTTGCTCACCATCTCCATCTGAGTCACTCTTGGTTTTCAAATTTTCTTTCGTCGTTTGAACTTCGCTTTTTACAGCGCTTTGCTCTTGATATGATGATGTTTCCATAGGAATAATCTGTTCATACACTGAAGGCTCGACATCGTCTTTCGTCGTCATAGGAGAAGTGTTTTGTTGGTTTTCTTCATCAGGAGTACTTTGATCATTTGGCGAATCTTTCTCAAAGTCCTCTAAACACAGATTTAGTCCTGTACTACTTTCGTTGTTGATTGTGGCAGTATCGTCTTCTTGGGTTATTATAATTATTGGAATAGGAAGTCCCTGAAAGCGATTGTTATCCATTAGAATTTTATTGATCTCGGATGTCTGTGCCTCGTTGTCTCCAGCCTTGTTTGATTTGTTACTCTCACTACGTACTTCGCTGGACTGTGGAAAGACCCTGTGACTATTGATGTCGTGATATTGTTGACAAGCCACGGCGTTCCCGGATTCCTTTACATCGGTTGCTGCAGTTATATCTTTAGGACCTTCTTCATCTCGGTTGACAAAAATATCAATGGTGGAGTAAGTTTGGACGCTTTGATCTTGGCGATTTTTTATGTTAGCATCCCGATTCATTGATTGCTTTTTCTGTTTTTCCAATGATCGTAATTTAAACTTGACGGTTTTTAATTCATCGATTAAATTATTATTCTCATCTTTCCTTTTTTCCATTTCTCCCTTCAGCTGATTGTTCATGGCGTGTAGATCTTCGATTTCACTCCGACAAGTTCGCAACTGTGTTTCCAGTTGTTCTATTTCCTGCAGCTTGTTTTGACAATTCTGAAGTTCTCTCCTTAATTCGTTTTTCATCTCAGTCTGGCAAAGTAACTCTTTTTCGAGCTCGGTCACCAGTTTTTCTGCCTCTGTGCTTTTCTTTTGAATATCTGCAAATTCAGAATCGATTTGTTGTAACTCTCGAAGTTTCTCTTTTGCCTTACGACAGTCTAGCCTTGTGCTTTCAAGTTCTTTCAACAAACTTTCTTTTTCTTGGCTGTACGATGACAGCAACAGCTTTATTTCTTGCTCTTGCTTTATACAAGACTCTTTATTCTGCCTCAGATCATTTTCTACGGCTTTATTTTGATTTGTCGCCGCTTCAAGTTCTTGGAGTAAACTTTGCCTTTCTTGTTTCAAAAGTATATTTTCCTGTTCTTGTCTAAGAAGAGTTTCGTCTTCTTCACTTTGGGTCCCAAAATCTTTTTTTTCTATCGAGTTAATCTTTTGCATCTCCCTTCGGCTTTTCAGATTTTCTAGTTCTTTCGTTACTTGCTCCAGTTCACGTTGTAATTTTTCAACGTTAGATGGGACTGGGAGTAATTTACTGTCCTCATGAGAAGACCCCATCTTGCTCCCCTCCTCTGTGTTTTCTCGCAAACTTGCAAACTCGTTGTCCATACGCTGGCCTTCTGTCTTGTCACCACTGTTTGGTAGTTCACTTGCATCACAGTCGCTCTCACTGTCACTGGACAACATGACACTTTTTTTCAAGTCAATCAACGGCAAGGCACCTGAATTTTTCTCCAGTTCATGGACACGTTCGCGAAGTATGTTTAGGACGTTTTCTGTTTCGCTGACTTTGTTCTTTAAATAAGTGTTTTCTTTCATTGCTTTTGAGAGAGACTGTTCTAGCTGCACCTGTGCTCTGACGAAGTACGATGCTTTCTTCTCCAATAGCAGATTTTCTTTTGCCATTAACGAAAGCCCAGCTTTCACGTCTTCTGAAAAGGGAGCACTGACCTTCTCATTTCCGGACTCAGTGTTTGTTTCTTGGTCGCGACTACTGGTCAGTTTGTTGTTCTTCAACTCGTCGAACTCTTCATTTTCTGGCTGAGGTTCGGTTGTTTCTTTTAAAACAGTGACACTCTGAGAATCCTGGTCAGGAACGTGGATGTCGTGAGTGTTTTTCGTAACACTGTCTAGTTCATCTTTCAACGTAGTGTTTTCACTTGCATGCTGTTCAATCATCTGTCGCGAATCATTTTCACTGTCTTCACCATTTTCGCCCTCCGATTTAGAACTTGCTTTGTCTTCCTTTGCGACACTTTGTTCTTGTTTTAACGTGTCCTTCAATTTGTTCCCTACACTCGGTACCCTCTTGTGATCATCCTTCCGCCGATGCACTTCATTATTTATCCTTCCCTTCAAAGCTTTGTTTTCTTTCTTCAAAGCATCGTTAGCGATCTCCATTTCTTTTATCTTTCCATGTGTTGTTGCCAATTCGCTCTCAAGATGTTGATGCATCGTCTGTAACTTGTCAATCTCATTGTTCAAGGAAGCGTTCATCTTCTCTATTGAACTTACTTTCTCTCTTTGCTCGGTAACTATCTCAAGCTCCTTACCCATGTCATCTATCCTTGCTTGAAGTTTTCTGTTGCAGTCATGAATACTTTCAAGTTCTTTCTTCAAAAGAGATTTTTCCGCTTCCAGTGATTCCTTGGTAGATTGGTGATCTGTTATGGCTTTGCTTGTGTGTTGAATTATGTCCACCTCCTGAGTTAGTCGATCGTTTTCCTCATGGAAGCAGTGAAGCTCTTTTTCCAAGCTTTCCAATGCCTTGGTCTTTACCTCCAGCTCCTGTATTAATTTATTAGAATCTTCACACTCGTTTTCGAGTTTTTTGTTTAGGTCGCGTAACCTCTCAAGCTCTATCTCCAAGTGTTCTTGCCTTTCTTCATTCTCATTTCTGTGATCCTCTTGTCCCGGTTCGGATGCAAGTTTAATATCTGAGAGTTTTTGCTTGAGCTTGTTACATTCGTCTTGAACCCTGGTTAGCTCTTTTTCCAAAAGTCCTTTCTCTTTTTCAAGCAACTTGGTCTTTTCCTCAATTTCCTTCTCGTCATTTGTGCTCATTTCTTGCTCATCCTCTTTGGCCATTTGTGGCTTAGAATTCGAGGCAAATGGGTCGTCCTCATTTGCCTTTAACCCCTGATCCTTAATGTGTTCAATCTGCTTTTCGAGAAGTTCCTTTACACTTTTTATCTCCTGTAATTCCATTTTTAACTGACTGTGATCTTCGGTAATTTTTCTTAGCTCATCTTGGAGTATTGTGACTTGTTCTTGGTCTTCTCTATGCAGCTTTCTGTATTCGTTCGATTCTTCAGAGGCTTCTATATTCATCGGCCAATCTGCCTTTTTGCTTTCATGCGTTGTCCTTTCAGGTACTTTCTGCTTAACTTCTCCCTGCTTTCTTACCTCGCCGATTTCTTTAATTAGTTCTTCTTTTGCTTTTTCTAGCTTAGCAATCTTCTTCATGGTTTCCTCTCGTGCTTCACGTAGAGCTTCGAGTTCGTGATGGAAAGAGTTATTTTCTTTGAGTGCATCTTCCAACCGCTTTTCCAATATCTCTTTACAGACGCTTGCCTCATGAAGGTGAAAACTTTCTTGTCTCTTCTGGTTTTTAAGCGTGTTAATTTCATCTTTGATTGTCTCGCATGAACACCGCATCTCCATCAGTCGTATTTCAAGGTTTGCTGCTCGCTCTATGTTGTCATTAAGTTGGGTGGTTAACAAGTTCCTTTCGGACTCGCTTTGATGAAGGTCACTCTTAAGTCGTTCACAATCGGCGTTGGCACTTCTTAACTCAAATTCAAGTTTTAGCTTATCGCTGGTAACTTTCAGGAGATCTTCTTCAAGTTTACGCACTTTGGGTTCGTTGTCAACAGCTCTTTTGCCAAGTTGAACATCACCTACAATTTGCTGAAAGTTTAATGGGTGACTGGTACTTCTAGTTCGCTCAAGTAATTCGGCTCTTGACTTCTCGTTCTCCTCCTGCAGACGGGCTACTTGCTCTTCCATGTATGTTTGCTTCAATTTGTTATCTTTCTTTTCACTTTCATACATGGCTATTCTTTCTTCCAGAGTCGTTTGCACCCGTTTTGCATCTTCCAGTGACCTTTCTAGCTGTCTGTTTGTGTTCAGACCCACTACTAAATTTTCCTCAGCTACTTTCAGCTTCATATTTTCACTTTCCAACTCTGTTATTCGATCTTGCAGGATGTTCTGCTGATGTACAACATCTCGCTGGGATGTCGTGATTTTCTTGCTAGCTTTTTCACCAACGAATGTGACTTTCTTCAAAGCTGCATTTGCAATTGACTCTTTGTTGATTCCTTTTTCCTTCTCAGTAACTGCCTCTTGATATTGCCGTCGAAGAATCTCGTATTCTCTCGTCAGTTCAGCGTGCTTTTCTTCAAGTAACTTGTATTCGTCGTTTGTACTTTCTGAGCAACCTTCAATCTCTTGGACAGTGTCATCCTTGTCTGACGGAGTTTTACATTCGTCTTCGGTAGCTTCATTCTTTGTTTCATTGGCATATGTCTTCACCTCTGCTTGAAGTTTGTCGATGAGATCATGAGCGCTCTCCAGATCTTGCCTGTACAGAGCTAAGACCCGCTCACTCTCCGCCAACTGTTGTTGTAAATAACCATTTTCGAGTTTCAAAAGTTGATTTTCGTGTTCCACAATCTTGCCTTCATCTGCGGGTGATTCCGCTATGGAAGAAGATGTGTCGGCAATTTCGTCTTCACTTGTATGAGTAATGGTATAAAACTTCTTACTTGGTGTTCCGCTGAATGATTTTCCTCTGTGGCTTGGCTCGTCTGTAAGAGTGGCTCGAAGGCTCAAACTGCTAGACTTTTGTTCAGTACTCAACCCACGGTCCTGGGTATTTTGTGTAGCCGAGGCAAGTTCTGTCTCAAATTCTATCACCCGGGAGCTAATTATTGCCAGTTCTTGCTTCAACTTGTCTTCCTCGTTCTTTGCTTTGGAGTATTCACTTTCTAACGCTTCCTGATACTCGGCCATACCTGCTAGCTCCTTTTGGAGGTTGGCATTAAGCCGTTTCTGTTCGGTCACTTCAGCCTCCAACTCAAAGAATCGTTCCTCGTTGTCCTTAAGTTGCTTCTCTCTTCTTACCGTTTCCTCGGTAATTGAAAACTGTTGTTCTAACAAATGACTTTTCTCTTTTTTGATAGCTCCCAGCTCAAGAAGAGCTTTCTCTCGATCTTTCCTTGCTATTTGGTTTTCTTGATCAAGTCTTTGACATTCCTGAGACAGCAATTCGTGCTTGGCTTTCCAAGAGCACAGCTCAGATTCCATTTTCGATATTTCCATTTCGAGTATTTTGTTGTTTTTTTCGAGTCGCGTGCTCATGTAAGCGATCGCTTCGATGTCTTTCTCGAGACGTGTTGATTTTTCCCGGTATCTCTGAAGCTCTTCTGCCATGCTCGAATTTGTATTTCGTAAATCTGTTATCTCACCGGAGAGCCTAACCTTTTCCTTGGTGATCTCTGAGACTTCCTCTTTGAACCGACTGCAGGCATCCTCACTTGTTTGAATGACAGTTTTCATCTTGAAGGACTTTTCTTCAACAATTTTAAGTGATTTTTCCAAACGAACTTTTTCTTGTGTTGCGTTCCCTAACTTGACTTTAAGCTCTGCATTTTCTTCTACCAGAGAAATGAATTCAATCTCATTTGAGACAAGCTGCTTCTGCGGAGGAGTTCGTAGATCAATTTTAGGAACCTTTGCTTTCGTAGGTGACCTGAGAGGAGACTTTGCCTTTGTTTTGAGTGGTGATAGTGGATTATCTCTGCGTAAACTTTCCGGCGATCTGAAAACAGCGTTGCTGCTATTGCTATCTCTTAAAAGCCTCTCCGTTTCCGATCGTAAAGCCTTCAGCTTTCCATCGAGTATTTCGTTTTGTGTTTTGACGTTAAAGTACTGTTGTCGCACTTCTTCACAGGTTTCTTTTTCATCGACGATCTGGTTTTCCAGGTTTGTTATGGTCACTTGTGCTTCCGCTAGCTGGCCTTTTTTGTGATCCAGTTCCTCCTCCAAATCTTCGTTTGCTTCTCTGGCTTCAGTTAACTCATTTTCAGCTTTGTGCAATTTCCTTTTGAGTTCTTGTATTTGTTTAATTAATGCCTCTCTCGATTTGCCCCCTAAGTCCTCATTTACTTCATTTCCAATGTTGCTTTTACCTTTTTGGCCGTCACCGACAACCGGTTGCTTCTGTCCACTCTTGTGCGGCGACGACGCATCAAACGTTTTTTCTTTACTGGGACTTGCGCAAGGTGAGCGTAGGCTACGGGCAAGTTTTGTGATAATGATTTCCTCATCACTGTCGTCAATGTTTGCATCGGAAAGTGTTGGTTCTTGCTCGTCGGAAATCTCATCCTCACTCGCTATTTCTTCGGCTTGTTCCGGCATAAGCGTATAAATCTTTGAGATATTTTCCATACACGTTTTCAAGAAGGCTTCTCTAGTTTCATTTCCATCGGACATCTGAGAACTGTTTTCACTGTCGTTACTCTCATGCGAAGCTTCCATGACGTCCGAGAGTTCAGGATATCCTCGGGGCACAGGTTCCTTTGGTGACTCAAAATTCCCACTTTGCTCTAAATTTTCTTGGCTTTTTGATTTTTTGACGTCACTTTCCAAGTTAGATTTTTCAAGCTTTAGATGAAACAATTCCGATCGAAGTTTTGTCACGTGGCTCTTGATACCATAAAGTTCTTCTTCGACCTTCGTTCTCTCTTCCATGGTCGAAAATAGTTCTGTTTCAAGAAATGTCGTGTCTTCGTGCATCTCAGTTATTTCCTTTTCCAGTTCTGTTTTGGTGTGTTTCAAAGATTTCAGCTTCTCTCGTCTTGGTGAAATGGATGCTGTTGGCGAAATTGACCCAATGTCTTTGCTGTTAGAAGAGCTCTTCTTACCACCAGTGGTCTTTACTGGAGGGGTGCTTTGAGGCGAAGAGTTCGTAGCGGTGCTCTCTCCTGAAGCATTGTGATTAGCTAGCTTTCTCTTATCCTCCAGTGTTCCACATACCTGTCTCAGGTCCAGCAACTCAATCACCAGGAGACATGCTAGCAGAGCTTTATCAATAATGACAAAGCGAAGACAATTCTCCAAGATTGCGTTCAAGTCTTCAGAGTTAGCCCACATATCTGCCTCGCTTAAACCTAAAATAGAATTTTAAAAACAAGATGTAAGTGGCTCAAGCAATTTATACCATTCTCCCAAATTTAGATATGAAGAGCATGTTATGCCATTGTTACACCCAACTTTTCCCTAGGAAAATAAGCATAAGCTTGACGTAGTTCTTGAAATAACAAACCAGCTGTGTTGTATTGACCAGAATAACTTTTCTGTTATTGTTTGTGTATTTACTTATTTATTAGTATAGGGAAAGGCTAGCGAGATTGGAACAATATGATATTTGCGACCTACCAGGCATGTTATTGCGTCGAAACATGATCAGCTTAGTCAGTTTATTTCCCAGCTCGTTCCATTGCGGACATTGTCCTAAGATTTAAGTAAATATAAGTTAAAACCTGCCAGTGACTTAGATAGAACACAGTGTTCAAACGTTGAAATGGCCAAGACGCTGCCTAACATCGCGTTTTCAGGCTGTCAGAGCAAAGGTGTCGTACAGGAGATGCAAACATGCCTGTAAATCACGGCGTTGTAAAGTTCAAAGCAAACGAGTGATCTAAAAGTTGATCCTTTTCTAGTTTCCCTTTCTTCGGTCTCCTTTTACAGACTTTTTGTAAGATTTGTGACACAAGTTGTTTGTAACATTTTCCAAAGAAGTGCGTGCGCACAGCTGGTCAAAGCTGACTTGCTCCGCATGCCCTGCATTTGACCACTCAACCTTTGTACCTCACCGTTAAATAACTGACAAACCTATAGTCCTTAGATAGCCTATTGGTAAAATCTATGAGATAACGACAAGGAGGGAGTTGTGCTAAGAAGCTGGCTTTTACTGACCTTCATTTTTGGTGATTTGTTCGTCAAACAACGTCGACAATAAACTGAGAACTTGCTGCTCCACCTTCTCCTTAGAGCTGGTCAGGCGTGTTAATAATGCCTTGGTTTTAATCATGGGGTCTTCCTGATCATGCCCACGTTGGGTAACGTCACCACTAGGAACAGAGCATGCTTGGCCGCTGGGATGTGTGCCAGGTGAAACTGACGTCCTGTCCTTGCTCTCTCGACCCATGAGTTTACCCAACATTCTGCGCACTCCACCCGCCAGTCCAGAGGAATTTTCATCAGGACTGCTGTTGTACATGGGTAGGCTGAGACAGGGTTCTTTAGGGACACCCCTAGGAGAAATTTTGATGGAGCAGTCTTTGGAGAACAATTCCACCGAGCCCGCCTTAGATAAATTAAACTGCAAATATTCCTTTGCATCGGAAGCTGCCCGCTTTCTTTCGTTTGCATCCAGTTCAGTGTCAAGATGGAGGTCTAACAACTGCAAGAAACACCCAGCATTGTTCAAAAGTGTTTCTTGGGTGTCAGCCAATGCCAGATGACTTTTAACTTTGGCTGGAAGTGAGTCATCTAAAAGGATTCCCTTAGCCGCATCCGGGTTTTGTAAGTTTGCCAACAGTTCCATGGACATAAGCTCGGCAAGTAAGACAGCCTCGACATCAGGAGCACTTGTTCCTATTGGTTGAGACACTTGTTTCTTCAGGCACACCAGCTCTGTTTGAAGATTATTCTTCTCCTCTTTCTCTCGTTGGACACTTTTGGAAAGATTAGCAATTACTGTGACTAACTTCTCGTGCTGTGAAAAAAGGAAATAAAAAAGAGCGACTTAAAAAAACCCGATCTCTTGAAACCCGTGGCTGTGCATGCTCTCGGTGGGCATATGATAGAAGTTAACTCCTACAAAAAGGCGAAATGCATACAATTTAAAAATAAGTAAAAATAAGTAAAAAACAACGTCAACTTCACTGTGAAAGATTTTCTCTTATTTTCATATTAACTGCGTTCATTTTAGTTATTATTAAATTTAAGGTTTCGTTTGACTCTAGGTTTAGTTGGCGATCGCTTTTTTATCCATGTTGGTAAAGGGCTAGAAAAATAGATATTCAATCTTACATCTTTTCCTGCGAAATTCTCGCTCTCCTGGTAACAGCTTATTGCAGATTTCAGCCGCTGTATTTCTCTGAGGTACTCCAGCTTCTCGAACTTGTATTTAATTTCTAGACAAAACAAAATCACACCGTCAGTTGAAAACTTCATTGTACTTTAATAAATGTTTGGCTCAGTGAACTATCACCTTGCCAGAGCGATTTTCAAAAGAAACAGCTGAGTTCTGAAAATGTGTTGCTTTTTCATTTCTACCTCAGAGTGCATATCCAATTACCCTGCAATTAACTAATGTTGCAGGATGATTAGTTCTTTTGCCACAGATTAGCGGAGGTCGTTCCTCATCGACTTGCCGGACTAGAACTAGTTCCTCTTTTTACTTACTTCGTTTATTTAAAATATAGGAAATGAAAAGCGAGAGGTGAATAGGCTGCACACAAATTAAATTTCAACCCCAGCATTTACTTTGAGTCTTGTTAAGCAACTGAAATTAAAGCAGGACTGTGCTCAGTAATCAAAATAAAATTCAACCTTCTCGTACCTTGATCCTCGAGTTTTTTCGCCAATCTTTCAGCTAATACTTTATAGTCCACCTGTGAAAATGCCATCGTAGAAATGGGAATAAATTGCTTCGACACATGGTAATAAAAACTGCAAATGTTTGATTAAAAATTTCCCCACATAGAGCGGATCATCTATCATCATCTCGTCACGCAATTTTTAAGCAGAAATTTTAATTTCATTGCACTCCTACAACATCTTGATGACGACTGAAAACAACTATGGCACAATTTCTCCCTTGTGCACGTAGGAAAGACTTCTCGGCACATTAACCGAAAACTACCAAGTAGGGAAGGACAGTAAAATTCCCTCATCTCGTCCATTTATCTTCATATCTCTGTCAACTCGAAAGTCTCCAGACTAAGTCTCTCCTTTCAAGAAATCATTACTTTAATCCATTCGAATTTGTTAGCAAACACTCGTGGTAGTTCATGTATTCACCTCAACATTAAGGCGGGCCACATTGGTTATTCTCATGGCTCGAAGACCGAAGTTTAAACTGCACTTGGTCTCGTTTACTTCGCCGAGGGAAGGTGCTATGCAAATCTGTGGGAAAAATAGCAACACTGAGATAAATTGAATTAGGATGATAAAGACCGTGTAACTGCTGTAATGAAAAATAGACAGAAAAAGAGCGAGAAAACATCTTAAGGGGCATAGCCTAAATCAAAGAAAGAAAGTAAATTTGCTGCTTACGATAAAATTTGTTTTTCCATTGTCACCAAGGCAATCCTGTAGGAGTCTGGTGAGAGTAGAATTCCTGTATGGCACGTGACGCTTGTGTCCACGTGCAAGGGCGTGGATCACATTCCTGAGGAGTCAGAGTTAAAAACTGATTGGAAGCGGACATTTGGTTGCGAGCAGGCCAAAGGGTCAAGTAATTTAATGTGGAAAGGAAAATATGTAAAAAAAATTTTATTTCCTAAATGAGAATCTCCTCGAGGTATTTTAGAGGATTACGGATTCAAGCTACGTTTGAGATTATCTATCATCTTGAACCTTAAAGCATGAACATGCTACAAAGTTCATCTCCACCTACCCAAGCTCCAATAGTGAAGTGTTTAAATATTTCGCCTCAGTTAATCGTACTCCTTCCGCCTTGGTTTTGGTTAACCTTTCACTTCCGGCTAAATCACACCTAAGAAAATGCCGGAAATACATTGATATTGCGTGTCAGTGATAAAAGGTTAATCTCGTACCCAGGTCCTATCGTGTAACTGCTTGGCTGTGGAAGGTCTAAGTTCTAAGTAAGGCTCACTTACTTTTCATTCTTAAATTATAAAGCTACTTGAGCTGGGAGGTTTGGCAGAATAAGGATGATTGAAAGGTTCTTGGATGGTATTTTAATGTGATTTCCTACTTACAAATTGATTTTTCCTTTCACAATGAGATCGCCCTCAAAATTGTTCCCATTGTTGAGCTGTGTAAGTGAAAAAAAGTCAGCAAAAAGTTCATAAGTTGCGTTTGGTTGAAAAATGTACAGTATTTTGAGCCTGTTTCAAAGGAAAACTACAGTATTCTTTCTGGTTAAGAATATATGAAAGTCATATATTTGAACTGCGGATAAAGACGTGAATGAAAGTGATCCTCGCAGTAATTTGCACTACTTAGGCAGTAGTGAAAAATAAGGCCTGAAGTATTCTTTCTGATGGCCGCCTTGTAGAGGTGAGTGCTTGGTGTAAGCTCTATTGACTTAGTAAAGGGACTTCAAAGATAGGGGCTTGAGGAGACTTTTGAGATAGGGGCTTCATGCAGAACGTGCGCTTGATATAGGAATCCTTTTGGAATGAGGGTTTTTTAATTCAATTATTTGTACCATTCTCTTTCATGGCATCTGCCAAAGCAGCTCATTTCGCATTATAAGGAGGTGAATGACAGAGAAGGAAAAAAATCTTCGACTCGTTTCCAAGACGAGGATGACATGTGGATTTAATCCCATGGATTAACCCAATAAAGCTTTATCATCAAAATCTTACCTCCTTCTCCATTAACTCTTTCAAACACTCTCGTTCACGCTGATGTTGAAAAAGGAAATAAGAATAGTAGTTAGTAGTTTTCCGAGTAACCTTCCAAACGGTCTTTCAACGAGATAACACGTCAAATAATTCAAAAGCTTTGTGTTTAAGTACATATTGACAGAGTCGATACAGAAAAGTGTGTATACAACACAAGATTTTCAAATGACAATGATTGATTGCACGGTTTTTTTTGGTAAAGTTCATGCATTTTCTACCAAACCATGGACTCTTAGTCTGAACCAGAAGAGGATTAAACCTCTCTTGGTTTTAGCTAAAGTCATGTTGAGTATTGTTTTACCTTCAGCAGTATACAGGTGTCTACTCAAAGGTTGCGCAGATATTCGAACTTAGTCCCTTACCTTGTGATGACTTTTTCTTTCTTGTTTCAGTTCCTTTATGAGATTGTTAATTGTTTCGTCGACTGCCATGATGGACTCTTGAACTGCCTCGTGGGATACAGTAGTTTCACCCTTGCTCGGGGGTTTTTCTGAAGTGAAAAGTTTTGATGGAAGACGTTTAATTCTTATTTCGAGTGAGTGACAAAGAAAGAGAGTCTTGTGCGAGAATTTGAATCCTAGCCAGGAGCACTTTTCTTGAAAGTGTGGGTAGTTGCTGGCTCTGAAGAGTTTTGTCTTTTGTTTGTCGTCTTTACATCAAAATCAAGAAATAAATTGATTTGAAACACAAGGGATAAAAGTCTTTGGATCAGGTATGGACGAAGGGGAAGGAAGATGAAAGATTTTTAGCGCAGCTGTCGAGTAAAGAAAGGTTTTTGTTAATTTGTGTCAGCTACGAATTATCAGTGCAAAGATAGCTTCGTTGGACGTAAGAAATATGGTTTTTCTCCTTACCATTAGCAATGTGTGCTTTCAGTCTTCTTTCTATAATAAGCTGCATGATTGAGTGGGATCTGTTGAACAAATCGAATTGTTACGACAAATAACTACAAAAAACTGAAGTGATAGAAAGTTTTTGAAGCCATTACCTGCTGGAATGCCGGACCATCTTGGTCTCCGCGATAACGAGATGTTGTTTTCCTATCTCTAAGAGTGCAAATACATCTCCAGCACTTTTTACTTCGTGTTGGGTCAAGTTTGCTACGTATACTCCTGAAAACGGAAAGTGATGAACATACGTTATCGCATTAGATTAGGTTAGCGCGCGGTGATTCGAAGTACCAGTGATTGAGTGGCAAGTTTTAAACCTCGACAGGCAACGTGGTGTTCATGTCTCAACGGCTCACGCGAAGCGGGCGTCGGTGAGAAAAAATACTTAAATGTATTAAGAGTTAAAAACTCCGACTGACTGGGACTTTGCTGTCAGCCATTTGTAAGCGTAGACTACAAATCGAACCGGCGAGACCTTCGAAATTACAATCCACTCAGGGTCATTACATTAATCAGACAAGGTTTGTGAGTGGAATGAAACAGATGGTAAGTTTTGAGCTCGGTAAAGAAAACGAGAGGGATGTTTTTCGTCTTGTTACGAGCGTGGTACAAAGAAAAAATTCAAAGTCCCCATGAGGAATCGAACCTCAGCACTTCGGAATCCACGCTCCGGAATTCTCAACAACTGAGCCACAGAGACTCTAAGGTGAGCAAGGCCCGGTACGAAGTTCATATATGACACGCGTCCTACATACTGCAAGGATCAGCAATGTCGATAGCGTCATGTTTAGTAAATAGAATGAGAAAGATCCTATTGGGCCTTGCTCACCATGGAGTCTTTGTGGCTCAGTGGTAAAATATCGAAACGCGGAATCCGAAGGGCTGAGGTTCGATTCCTCATGGGGACTCAGAATTTTTTCTTTGTCCCACCCTCGTGACAAGACGAAAAACATCTTTCTCCAAGATTTGCGAGTTTAAGTTCTTTGAAAACTACAGAATAAAAGCCGCTTTTACTCAGAAATTTTCAATGTTGCTGTATGAAATTATCTGATCGATGATCATTTACGATCTTGTTTTGGCATTCTGGTTGAATTAGGGCACTTGAACGCGCTTACCTTTCTTTGGATGCTCTCTGACTGGTAAATCTACTGTAAACCGCGGATTCAAAAGATCGTAGACCTTCTCTTGGTAGACTTGCAAAAATGAGCACATGACCTGAGAACGAAGAACATCGAATGTCATCTGTTTCTCTTGGATTACGTGCATCCATGGTCGTGTCTTAACAAAAGTGTTCTTAAAGCATGTAATCTTATGATAGACTTAAATCGTACATAAAGAAAAAATCCAATGCGGATACAACTTGAATTCTGAATCCCCCGCCGCCATCATGGAGAGGCATTTTTTAATCAGAGTTTATATTTATTTTGCAAATGTTACCCTGGATATTTGCAGTCAAGTTAGGTCATATTATCCATCAAGAGAAATTTCAAAATTATCTCCTTGCATGTTCGAAGAGCACACCGTTACGATTTTCGCTGACAAGTACGCCCGTATGACAGCCTTTAATTCTTCATCATCCTTCTTTTCATGAGAAATACACATCGATAAGAGCTGAGATTGGTAAGAGAAACCAAAATGTTAAATATGTTTGGTCCTCACCTTGTAGTTGTGAATCTCATCGTTGGCGATTTTTTCAAAACAGTGTTGGACAACTCGCGTGGTAACACCATCATCTGACAGAAGTGTGAAGGTTTTGCCTGAAAAAATTTTCATAATAGATTACCTTTAATTGTTGAGTAGTTTATGAAAGACTGCGCAACCGACCAAAGAGACACAGGATGTAAGATTTAGAGCTGTTCTCCCTATCTCTCTTGTGTTTAGCTTAAAGTATTCATTTTCCTTACCTGTACCGGTCTGTCCGTATGTTAGAAGTGTTCCTTTATAGCCATTCAATGCAGCGTAGACGAGAGGTTTTCCAACCTTGAGATATACCTTTAAGCAATTTAAAGCATAAAATATCAGGCATTTCCTTACAAATCTATTATATGGCCTAGCTTCTCCTTACGGGAGAAGACTTTTCTTTTTCTAACACTTTAGATAAAAATATCTAACATTTTGCCAGCTGAAAGAAATTTTAGAGACAGAACCGACTTGTGTGCAATGTTTGTCACCTTAAGGATTGAAAGCAAAACTGACCGTTTAAATGATTGTAAAACATGAAGTAACGTGTTGGTCAAATTTATGTTATTTACACGTCATTTTGCGATGATAATGATGATAGTGCCCTCCTCGACATGACAACCGCACTTATTCGATTAAACACCGCGGCGTTTATTAAATTTGTCGTGATTCGAGGGCGGCGTTTGTAAGAAGGCGGCATTAATTTAAAATCCAAACAATAGTATGGTGACTGACCACTTTAATTAAAAAAAAAAGAAATATGTCTTAGTGCTTGTCTAAAAGATCATTTTTTTATATTGTTGTCAGTTTCACTATTTGCATGTTAATACCACTGCAATACACAAAGTGAATAAAGATCTAATGTCTGATATGCTTTCTCGACATAAGAATTAGTACATTTAAAAGGATCTGTGTCTGTTTTACTCAAAATTTCTAACTGCCATCGAAGCAATGATCGCTGTGTACCTTTTGAGTCTATTATTCGAGAGCAGCGTCAAATAAATATGGTATTTCGAACAGGATTAAATGTAATACACTAACCTCTTGGTTGGATGCTTCTGGGCTAAATACGCCATCAAAAAAATAATTCGTTCGGCTTCGTGGATCCAGTACACGTATCTGTCAACACAATAAACAAATGGTATTATGTATGAACTGAGAGACTGGTGGTGTAGATCACAAACACCCTGTTCTTTTTTTATCATTTATTGTTCTTGCACAAACAACACTAGTTACAGTTCAAATTTGTGCACTATGCTACGTAACATTTCATAACGTTACGTGACGTGGCATGTGTTTAGACCGTATTGTTCATCACAGTTTGTTCAGTTTACTCAGTAAGTCCGCTGGCGAAGCAGAAGTTATATTTCATTGTATGGCACGTCTTGCAGCTTCTTCGCCGTTAGGCAGTAATTCTACAGCATCGCAACAAATGTAAGTTTGTATCACGTAATTTTCATCGTTATTTTCGTTGTAAATTTCCCTGAGCATATTTAGTTTTAGGCGTATTTAACTTGATTTACATTGTAATAAGTTTTCGCTCGCTATTTTACATGCAGTTTTAACCGATCTGATTAATACCAACTTGTATAAGCAATTGTTGAGATTAAATATATTGCAAAGTCGCGTTAAAACTGTCCGACCGATTTGCTGAGAGTTAGTCACCCATGGCAGCCACATATGGGTACTCAGGGGTTATGAAGTTTGGAGACGTGTGTCCAGGAAAAAGTCGCATTTAAGCACAAATGTAAGCTAATAGTCTTGTAATGGGAAAAGCCACATAATTACCATTGACTTAAATCGTATCACACTCAGAAAAGGTCATTGTAGCGGCAGATGACAACTCTGAAAGCGGAAGTATCTAGATGTACGCGCTGCAGTCCTATTTCACGATTCGCTCTGCTTACCAGCGAGTGTTCTTGATGAATTTCAATGGCATTCACTTCTCGTTTGTCCTTCTCTCTCTCAGTGAATGGACGCACGCGGACGTACACTTGAATTTTTCCTGCTTCTGATAGAAAAAAAAACGAGGAATCCCCTTAGATTCAAAAGGCAAGTATGGCAAGAGGTGCATTTCGTAATACAAGAGGTCGTTTGCGGGAATGAATTGTACATATTCCTTTTTTTATCAGAGTTGTATATTTAGAGCAAATTCATGAAGCAAAGGTAGATGGTAGAGAGCTCAGATATCAACACAAAGGAGGATATAAGCAATTAGCCGTATTATTTGGACTACGATATTCATTTGCCTTCCCCGTTGTCTGATGCAGTGATTTAACGGAGAATTATGCCTCAGAAACCATATGATCTCGGTCTCTGTCCTTAAAAAGATTGTATGAAATTATAACGATGTGCAGGTTGTGGAATTTCACAAAAAACCAAACCCTTCGACAAAGAATTGTCTCCAAACTCGCCCATAATGTAGCTATGGGCGAAACCATCTTGGATCCTGCGTAGCAGCCTGGTCATATGTTTGTGACGTAATAGGCTTTCGTTCCTCTTTCTCCCATGCCAAGGTGATTCTCTTCAACAGTCAAGAGCACACGCTCTTTGCGGACTGCCCATTCAGTTCTGGCTTTGTATTTACGGCCAAGTTATTCTAAAAGTTTATTTCCAAAGTGACTGCGTCTAAAGTTGAATCTTTAGCACATTTTAATGCACCACTCATACGGTTAGGTTACTCCTTGGAATATAGAGCTTCTGGGGCGTTTTTACCTCTTGGATATAATTTCACAGAATCGGAAAAATTACTTAAGTTGACCGTGTATTAGTTCATGTGATAACTGTGTTAGCATAAACTTCCTACAAACCTTTTCCTTTGCTCATCTTTGTTTTTCCCTTTGAGCACTTTTTGATGAAAGACAGCTATCATTGCTCATCACGCGCAAGAGCCTGGTGTTAGAATTTGGTCGAGATTGCTTTGAAATCTTTTCGCCATTTCTTCATCTGAGTTCACATTATTCCGTTCCGTCCTGGACCTTTGATAAAGAAAAATAAGGATAGATTAGTTACAGCAAGAGAAAACAACGTCCCGTTATTTATCTTGGTTACAAATATCAAATGCTAGCACCAATGACATATTGAACCACTTCTGAGAGTAAGGAAAACAGTTGACTAATCTCACAGAGAAACATACTTCTGGTCCATCACTCTATTTACTCATTGTCTGTTTTTCAGTGCACTATTTTATTGTCGTAAGACGCAATCTAATACCGACTCGTTTCTGCCCAGTTGTATTTACTACCAAGATTCTATTCTTGTTTTAATCACTTGTTTAATTTACTAATTTTTGAAAGATGCTATATCTAACACTATGTATAGTATCGAAATTGACAGCTATTGTAGGAAGCCACGTGAATCACTGGTTATTTCCTGCGGTGGAAAGTGGGTTGAAAAAACTACAGATAATCAAAAAAGCGTTAGTTCTTTCAAATTCAAAGGGTAGTCCTTCAATTAAAGTCATTGTTTGCGAGCGCAAATTAAAGATTAAACACCTGAGAGACCTTGGCTTTGGACCATCGCCGCGAACGTCAAACTACGTCGCATATTTCCTTTGATTGTCCTAATTTTGTACCTATCTCTAATTGTCAACAGTTTTGATGCGTCTAAGAAAAACAGTTTTTTCCTTTAATAAGCCATTGCACTGTTTCCAATTTAGATTTAAGTTCACTAAGTGTTTCAAAGCGGCTTTAAAATGTTTTGATCTTCGCCAGAACAAGTTAAAGGTTTCTTTGGACCAATGAAGCAAGAGGACCATTAATGGTTGTACTTACCAAATACGATGAAAAAAATCGCTTTTAACTTTTTCCCACAATTACTAATGGCTAATTTGATTAAATATCAAACTCTACACGCCACAAACCGACGTAAACATTGCGTCTTCGCGTGAAGCCACTTTCTTCGATGAGAAATCAGCGAAACGAAGAGAAACAAATAATTAATTATTGATCGGAGTAAAACGAGAACTTCGGAGAACTCGGGCATGTGGCGATTGTGTTTTACGGATCATTTGTTTCAAATCATCATTTCAGTCATTTCTGTTCCTTTGTTCCAGTAGAAGGGTAAGGCGAGGGAGGAATGGGGGAGAGGGAGGGATAGGACCACGAACGTTTAGGCAAGAGAGAGAACTTGAAGATCAAACATTAAGCTTGCTAACTTTCGCGAAAGTACTTTTAAGAATGCAAATTTTTCACCATTTATCACTCATTAGTAGTTTTTTTGTTTGTTGTTGAACTGAACCATTCTTTTCAATTGTATTTGATTTCTATCAGTGAATTTATATTTTTGCAAAGAAGGTGTTTTACTAACACGCTTTCCTGTGAAAGAAAAGCAAAGGCATAACATACAAGCGATTTAGAGTCGCGCGACGTTAATTCGTATGGTAAGGTTTGATAACTGTTTCAACACAAGACGTTTTAAACTAACAAGCTGGTATTTTCAGCAGGTTTACCTGCAAAACAGGTAGCCGAAATTAGGAAAAATCCCCGGTAATGAAACCTCCTCCAAAGCACAGTAGAACAAATTTGCACCAAACCTCATTCCACTCTGCTAAACTCTGAGTTCTTTTTTATATATGATAAATTTGAAAGTAACGACCAACTCCAAACCACGTGATCGGGTTCGATACTCGACAATGTTTATTGTATTGTGTTCTTAGGACACTAAACCGGTTCTACTGGATCACACGGTGCCTCTCTCTGCCGAGCGAGCAAGCAAACGACTCTAGCTTTCTCCCACCTCGTTGCTTCTTTGGTGCGTCAGGCGCGGAGAAACAGTAAACTTTTTAAAGTATCTCCTATTAAACCCGTTCAATCAAACTGACTCTGTTTTAAGCTCTTTCCTCAACAGCTCTTTATACATGAGAAGGTGAAATAGCCCGGTTACCAAGGCTACAAAATTTCTGATATTAGAGTGAAACCCATAAGTATTTTCTGAGAGTATTATTCATAGGAAGACTCCTTGTCACATTAGGAAATTATTTCGCAACACTACTTATATAAACAAAACAACAGCATCACACCAAGTATTTTTTACTAACCACGGAGAGTTCATGTCGCCAGTAAAAGAGAAACTATTTCTATATTGGCTTCTTACAAGCATGTTTAATTTTTTTTTTTTTGGGTTTTCTTTTTTGGTTTTTTTTTTCTTTTTGGTTTTCTTTTCTGGCTTTCTTTTCTTTTCTTTTTTTCTTTTTTTTTTTACAACCTTTCATAAAAATTTGAATAAATTGTTCACTACTGCTAAGATGCTAATCGGGAAAATTTGTTTAACAGTTAAGAGCTTCTTTAGTTGGTGATCAATTCCTTTATTCTCGTGACCTTAATGTGCGATTCAGGGGTGATATTATAGGGAGAAATTAAATGCTATTTCGTAAGATTTCAATTATCGCGTACAAAAGAGCCTATCAAATGCTCTTTTCCTAATCCACCATTAGAGGAAATATCAAAAATTACTGGTGACTGTTCCCAGTCTCCAGCCGATCATCACTTTCTCGCTTCAGAGGTAACGATTAGGAATGGTAATTAACCCTTTACATTCTGACATTAAAATTCATATTCTCCACACTGTTCTCTTTACATTTTCTATGGTTTTGAAAAGAATTAGTGATCATTTCCAATATTCTCATGACCATTACATTCAATTCAAGAGATACTGAAAGGAGAAATTAGAAGTCAGTCACTCGTTTGAGTGAAAGGGTAAAATCTTTCAATAATTGAACGCATACAAGTTTCGCACATTATTCACTTTTCAATCTTTATTTCAAGACTTAATGCCAGTTAACTTCCTATTTATTTAGAGGGACACTACAAGTATAACATGTATGACAGAGCTACTCAATTAATTTGATTTAAAATTGTGAAAATTTTCGTCCTTAATTCGTTTGCCTATGCATTACGTTAAAATAACTTTACACGCCAACTGCTATATATTTGCGGAACTCTTTTGACACTCGAGAGTAAAAATTCCCACAATTCACAAAAACACGACAAAGTATTCTCACTACATTATAACGCCTGCTGAATTATTCTTTGTCAAAGGTGCGAGACTAAAGACTGAACGACTGAGAGAAAACCAGTGGGTTTCTTGGCCCCTTGGTAATCTTAGTCCCTTTCGTTATGTCGCTTCTGTGCAAGTTACCACAGACTGGCTCCCTCGCACAGGCCATGAAATAGCCTTAAGCTGGTTGAAAATAAGCACTACTTAACGACGAAACGAGCAGGAAACGAGCAGGAAACAAGCATGGTACCGATTTTTCTCTTTGTTTCTTTAGATAATTTGAAAACAAGTTGGTAAAAAAAATCATCAGAATCACCGAGTTCGCACTAAACATTGGTATACGTAAATCATCATACTAATGATAAACTAACTGGGAATCTTGCCTCTGATCCAAAATTGATCGGCCTACTAACAAGAAAATTTCCGTCCCTATCCGGCCAGATCAAACATAGTCTATTTTTTCTTTCATTCTATTCTGATGGGATTTGAGTCAGCACCACGACAAACCTGGATTAACGGGTAGCCTACGTTTAGCTACTAAAGTAATGACGCGAGTTAGGTTTTGCGTTCTACATCAAATTCATGTCACTAAGGTAATTGTGAAAAAGGTGTAAAATACTGGTAATTATTTATCTGGTTACAGTCCAGTATTGACCTGAACTCCCACTGCGGTTGCTGCACTCTCTAGCACTTGATCCAGTGTTAAACTCCCCGGGAGATTCTTTTTCAGATATTTTTTGCCTTTCTCAGCGATCATTTCCCATTCATCTTTCTGATCAGAGTACTTCCCCATCAGCAGCACCAGAGCCAGGGCGGTGGCCCATATCAGCTTTCCTTCAGCTGTGTCAGCTGCAATCTCTTTTGAACATCCTTTGATCAAATCACTTCTACTTACATCGCACAAGGACGCCAGCTGATCTGTGAGGTCCCACGACCCTGACGCTTTCTGTAATGAAATAACTGACAAGGCAGACCGAGCACCTTTCTTTTTCTGGTTGTTGGCAGAAACTTCACGAACAGGAGCTTCAGGAGCTTCAGAAGCCTTTCTGCATAACTGTTGAAACATTAAAGGCCATGTAGCAGTTTGATTGGATGACCCATAACCCTTCTGGTTGTGAGTGGAAACGAGAGGAGCACCATGGTAGCTTGCCTTGGTCATTTTTGGCCATTTCATTTTTTTTAGAGGAGGTGGACGAGCTCCAGATGAAAATCCGGCTGCCCACGGAATGTTGGCAGACTGTGTTCTCGTTCTTGTTGCTTGTCTCCTATCAGCCGCAGACGTAATCATTGAGGCAAAGTTGGCCACTCGTTTTCGAAGCGGTCCAGATACAGGCTCACGGCTGTCTTTGTCAACAGCCACAAACGACGTTAACTTTGATACAACATTGGCCGACTTGCTGATGCTGATAACATAGCTCTTAGCTTTCTCAACCCTTGGCCCACTGTCGCCCAATTCATTGACGTCACCTTGTTTTTCTTGAATAGAATTCTTGGCTGCTAGCCAATGAAGAAGGATTCTTCCTTCGGTTCTTGCATCTCTATCCCAGCTGTCTTCTGTGGCGGGGGATGCAAACTGAATGATATGATCCACTTGAGCATCATTTTCTGCGTTACCTTCGAGTTTCACTTCATTCACTCCGCTACCGCTTTTTTTGTTTTCAGACGCCTTCAGAACGCCATAAACCACAAGCCTGTCTCCACTGAAAAGCGGAAGAAGAGACGAGGGGATCTGCTGCACAGTCCAGTCTTTTTCTAGTTTCCAGATTATGCTCACATCTGTGATGACAGGTTGCCGGGCTCGCTTTAGTGTCTTTATTACCTGTTAATTTAAAGTTGAAAACTGCCTCAGTCTAAAAGCACCCATCATTTCCCAGCGTTTTTACTATCGTGTGCAATAGTACTAATTAATCTAGGTGAATATGCAGTAGCTCTCCACGATTCAACACCAAAAAGGTCTTAACGAATAAATCAACGGCAAAAAAAAGAACATCACGAACCCCATCCACACCAATCTGGAAATTTTGAAGAAACAATCTTGGCCAACGAGGCCTTGAGGAGAAATTTAAAAAAAAAAAGAAACAGTGAACTTCCTACTGTGTGGTCGGCTGAAAATCAACGTCCTTCGCAAAACAATGACACTCGAATTAGACTCATAGTTTGCGAATCTAGTAAAGAAATCGTAGGTGCAGGTTTTAATTAGCACTAAGGAAGAAACGTGAGTCAGAGCCTGAACAAATGTAAGTTTCGCACACTTTTCTCGTTTCCAAAATGTGCTTCTTCACTTTCAATTTATTTATAGGAACGTTACATGCGTTTATAACATCTCTAATTAATTTTTCTCATTAAAATTGAGAAAATTGTTCACTTAACTACGTTAGACTACGTAACACGTTAGAATTACTTTACACATCGACCGCTGTATATTTGCATAGCTTTTTTAACGCTTACGGGGAAGAATCCTACAATTTACAAAGACACAACAAAGCCTTCGCAATTAATTCGAATAAATTATTATGCCTCCTAAATATTTCACTTTCAAATGTGTTAGATTTCCATCTCAGTAATTGAAGTTTTCCCAACGGCGTCTGTAAATTATCACTGATGCTAAAAACACTCGCAAAAGCTTCCTGAGGTGTAAAAAACAACAACAACAGCAGCAACAACATCTCAGAGCCTATGTGAAACTTTTAGCTGGTCGAGACGAAAGATTGAGCGGGTGAGATAAAATTTGCAAAGATCATCACCCCTCAGTAATCCTAGTGCCCTTCTTTCTTCTCTGTAGCCTGCTTCGCTTTTTTGCAAATTACCATAAACTGGTTACCTGGTACAGGCCATAGATAGCCTCGAGCTAGTTGAGGAAGGAACTTGCTACACGACAAAACAAGCAACGAACAAGCGTTATACCAATGTTTGTCGTTTTGCTTTAGATCTTTTCAAAACAATTTGGTAAAAAAGTCATCTGAATTCTCGGGTTAGGAAAGAGCACTTGTACGCCTCATACTGAAAACTAATTTAATTGAGAATCTTACCACTAATTCCAAACAGGTCGGTCGGACAGGTCTACGAACAAAAAAAATTTAATCATTAACCCTAATTGTCCGGTTAGATCAAATAGAGTCTAGTTTTTTCCTTTTCCTGATGCAAAATATGAATCAGCACCAAGCATACTCGGTCTACCGGCCGGCTTAAGGTTAGCGTCTTCAGTAGTTAATTGAGCAATGTTTTACATCAAATTTGTGCAAACGACACTGAGGTAATTGTGACATATTGAAATAATGGAAATATTTGGCCAGCCAGTCACAGTCCAGAAAGAACCGGAACTTCCACTACAGCTGCTGCACTCTCTACCACTTGATCCAGTGTTAAACTTCCCAGAAGATTCTTTACCAGACATTTTGTGCCTTTTTCAGCGATCATTTCCCATTCATCTATCTGATCCGAGTAATTTCCAATCAGCAGTACCAGAGCTAGGGCGGTGGCCCACATCAGCTCTCCTCCAGGTGTGTCAGCTGCAATCTCTTTTGGACATGCTTTGATCAAATCACTTCTACTTGCATCGCACAAGGACACCAGCTGATCTGTGAGGTCCCGAGGCCCTGACGCTTTCTGAAATGAAATAACTGACAAGGCAGACCGAGCACCTTTCTTTTTCTGGTTGTTGGCGGAAACTTCAGGAACAGGAGCTTCAGGAGCTTCAGAAGCCTTTCTGCATAACTGTTGAAACAACTGTTGAAACATTAAAGGCCATGTAGCAGTTTGATTGGATGACCCCAAATGACTTGTCATCACTTTACTGTCACCTTCCCCATCGACAACAGTTTCAGGTGCCGCTAGACCTACTGATTTTAGAGCTGGATAAGAACATGCTGCTTTATCTCCTTTTCCTTTCTTCAGTGAGCCCCCAAACAACGAAGAGAAGAATCCTTTTGAATGAGCGGACATCTCTCCAGAAGGAAGATGGGGAGGTGCTCCGAATGCACTTCCGCCTCCCAAAATGTCAACTTTTTTCGTCTCTCCCGAGGGATTTACGCGCACTAACAGTCTTATTCGCAGCCGTTCTTTTGATGTGTCACGGTGGCTCTTAAAGCTGATCCTCCTCAAGGCGTGTCTGAGCCATTCAAAGACCAGAGTTAATTTCAACTCCAACTGTAGCTGCTGCAGTCTCCAGTATTATAGCGACAGTGACAGTTGAAGGAAGATTCTTCTTCAGCCATTTTTTGCCTTTTTCAGCGATCATTTCCCATTCATCTTTCTGATCCGAGTATTTTCCCATCAGCAGCACCAGAGCCAGGGTGGTGGCCCACAACAGCTTTCCTTCAGCTGCAACAGCTGCAATCTCTCCTGGACACCCTTTGATCGAATCATATCTGCTCACACCGCACAGGGACACCAGCTGTTCTGTAAGGTTCCACGACCCTGACGCTTTCTGTAATGAGATAACTGACCAGGCAGATTGAGAACCTTTCGGTGGTGAGATAACATCAAAAGTTAAAGGTTCAGCCGCAGCTGTGATTTCTAGTGATGTTTTAGTCAGTGCTGCTGCCTTTGTTTTCTTTCGTGACCCTCCAAACAGCGAGGAGACGAATCCTTTTGACTTGATATGGGATTTTCTCGTAACTGCTGTGTTTTTGCTCTTTTTACCTTCAGAGTTAAAATAACCCGAAACATTTCTTCTTCTTTTTCCCTTTGCCGAGCAAGTTCTGGAGTTGTTTTCATACTTGTGAGACGCCTGCGGAGCCTGCGAGGTGCAGCTTTGAACGTATGCGTCGTGTTGGAGTTGCGACGGAACATCCCAAGTCCTGCCAGTGCTGTGAATAATGGAGTTCATCGGACCTGGCACAGGCTGACGGCTTTCTTTATCAACTACCACAAACGAAGTGAACTTTGATACTACATTTGTTGATTTGCTGATGGTGATTACGCCAGTTTTTTCTTCTTGAAACCCTTGGCCAAGTTTGAGTGATTCATCGAGACAGGGAAATCTTTCTCAAATTTCACCCAGGAGCTCTCCTGGTGCGTTGAATTGCAAAGAGAATGCAACCTAAATATTCATTTTTATGCACGTCGTCTACTTTATTTCGTTTGAACTCCTGTCAAAAACAGTTTCACATACACCGTGTATACCGATAATTTTAATATTTAAGTTAAATATACCAGAGTCATTCTTTGCTGAACGAAATTAAATTACAAAAATTTGGTTTTACTGTATTTTGGCATCCTGCTACTAACAGTGCATGGAAGCCCATAACAAAGCTTTCTTGATGACACATATAGCACAACATTTCTTCTTTTTCAAGCTTGTAAAATTAAAAAATTAAATAGTAATAAAAATGACAAAATTTGGGATTTACAATTACCAAGAAACACATTTACATACAGTATACTAATTACCATATTACTTTCAGACAAGAGCAGTGAATATATTCCAGTAACATAAAATATCACAATAAATTGAGATGATATAATATGATTAGAGTTAAGTGGAGTAATAATTTTATCAAATCTGTACAGTTCATTCATTTAAAATGTAGTTCACACCTTTGCACTACTGTGTCACTTCATTTTAGGAGGTTAAGTGCATAATCATGATAAATTCAACAGCTTTAAGAAGGTCTTTGAGTAAGTTCCTAGCTGTGTAGTTTGGTAACGATTAAACTACTGCATGTCTGAATTCAAATCTACACCAGCAATGCCAGTTGTGGTGATCTTCCTTGGACCAGTAAGTCATTTTCATAAGTACTGTGTATCCAACACCATTCTTTGCAAGATAACAAACTTTGGCCAGCCTTGAGGTGAGTCAGTGAATATTTAGACTACAATTCTTAAAAACAAGCAAATGTACAGCAGAAAAAGGAAAATTCATATCTAAATTTGTGACAGAAAGATTTCCTTTGCATTGAGCAAAGATGCCAACCCCTTGAAATCTGAAAGTCTCTTCTGCATTAAACCAAAGTGTAAAAAAAGGACAAAATTACACCAAAGTACAAAGATACATGTACAATTCTCCTTGAACAGAGCAACAGATTTTCCTACTTTTGTGTAACAAAATCCTATCTGCCAATTCTTTGACAGATATGATTGAAGGAAATGGATTCATCAATTATGCTTGACTCTTCAACCCATTAGAGTGACTGGCATCTAGTTTCTCCTTACAATAGCACCATGGAATCAAACATGAAGGTCAAGAGAAGACAGGAAATGATCACGAACTAAAGAGCCTCTTGATTCTTAAACAAATTCTTCTTGCTAGTACCTTACGAAATATATAGAGAACAGTATGGAGAGAATGCATACTGATGTTAGGGTGAGAAGGCTTAAATAAAACATTACACAAGACTACCAAGTAATGCATGTCATGCCCTTTTCTATTTTCACCAATCATGTAAAACACTTAACAATAAACATATAAATATTAATTTAATGCACCCTTACACTTTGCAACAAAATATAAAACTTATACCACATTTTTTTAGTATTAATGTTACAAAATATAAAAGTTGTCATTTGATATAATTCACAACTGGGGATATTTAAAAATATGTTGTTTTGAAAGATGTAAAACTTGGCATTAAGACAAGTAGGTCATGCAGTATCAATTGTACTCAAATAATCCTGTCATGCCATAAGGCATTCTAGAGTGCAGAGAACAGCAACAACAGAGTCCTGTCATGCAATAGGGCATTCTAGAGTGCAGAGAACAGTAACAACAGAGTACTGTCACCCAATAAGGCATTCTAGAGAGCAGAGAACAGTAACAACAGAGTACTGTCACAAAATAAGGCATTCTACAGTGCAGAGAACAGCAACAACAGCAAAAAGAAACTAGAAAGTGATGACACAAAACTCCTCCAAGGTTTTAATGGAGAATGGCTATTGAAAGTCCTTGTCAAAGAGACCAAAACAGAGTATACATATGTCAAATATTTTCACGAGATTGTCATGTGTAAGTAACCTTTAAAGTACATAGCTTTCAGAAAGACAACTACTGCAACAATCACTTCAAGAAAAAAACAGTGCCAACATACACTGTAAGCCTTCAGTAAGCTTACATAGAAGTCTACTGACGTGCCAAAAAGATACAAACTTTTAACTACAGCTGTATAGCCTCCCACGAAAAGACACTTCTCCTTCCCTTTGCTCAGTACAGAAGTAGTCAGCATGTGTCTTCTATCTTCAGTATCTAATGCTTTGTTAATTTACACAAATGATGAGCATAATGAACTTAATCATGTTGGTGATTATAAGTGTCTGTAAATAAAATATTAAATTCTCTAACCCAGGAGGTGTAAGGTTCAAAAGACAGTTCAATGGTTCTGGTTCTCACTCAAGTTGTCTTTAAAATTATCTACTGATCATGGAGGTTTGACTATGACAAAACAGATTTCAAGTAAAATAATTTCATACCTTGGCCTGCAACCGGTCTTCCCTGGCTGTGACAAACTCTGCAGTCCCCTTCCCCACTCTGGCAACTCCTTTGACGAGTGCAGTTGATGCACAAGCCCCAATGCCAAATGTAAAACACCTACAATAATTGAACACAATTGAATCATGAGAAAATACTCTTCTTCGGAACCAAGTCAAGAGGAAAATTTGTTGGGAAAAGGGTAGGCCTTATATTACAAGTCCAAAATGTGTTTATTTTCCGGTATTCCCCACAAATTTTCATTAAAATTTTCAACACTCCCACAGTTTATTTCTTTACAACTGATTGCCAAAAAAGTGAGAGACTATGCCCTCTGACAGGAACCAGAAGGTCATTCTGCAGGAGTGTAGCAGATTATCCTTACGACCCTCTAGCTGGGAAAAATCATTGATATAGAGAGGTACTGATAAAACCAATTTTTTTTCACCATGAGATATCAATACACCTGTAATAACCAAAGTCTTTACACCAAATACCAAGAATTCATGCAGGATGATGTAATTAACCCTTTAAGTCCCACTAGTGACCAAGAAAGAATTCCTCCTTACACTATCAGTACAATATCAAGCAGACAAATAATGAGAATAAAGAAAAACATCAATTAGTGGATTATTTGTTGATCCAATTTCAAATTCTCCAAACTAACATCATATGAATTATATGGGAGACACTAAGGAGAATCAATAATGAGATCTTGGGAGTTAAAGGGTTAGGACTCATGATGGGAAAAAAGATCTTAAATGCCTAATACTACATAAAATCCCTAACAGACCTACATGTACTAATTCCTATGTTTTCCAGGTAAGGTACAGATTATACTGTTGGCCTAAAAGTCCCAATTAAAGATTAAAACACATTGCAAAGTGCACTGAGGTATGTGGGGGGGGGGGGGGAGGGAAGGGGAGGGGAGCAGGGTGCATCCTGTGTACTAAACCAAGTGTATACTCCACCTATTATTTTTCCTCCCCTGATTGTTTTTGCTTCTTGCACACAAGCCAGAGCTTTTCATTCAAATAAAAAAGTCCAACCACATATAATTTTGCCAAGCATGATCGTGATGAAATGATTTGAAAAGACAACGAGACTGAATGTTTGTCAAACTAATGTTATGCTGCTCTGGTAATATCATTGGCACTTAAATGTGTGTGGGAGAGGGGGGGCAGAACTGCTCTTTTTTGCACTTGAGGGGGCTGTAGTCTCCCTGTATCCCATCCCACCTCCCCCCCCCCCCCACTCTGCTGCTTATTTTATTGCACTGAAAAATTAGAAACAGTCAAAATTCTACATAGAATCACTACAAATTAATATTGTGAAATATGGAGATAAAACATTTCCAAAGAAGCAAACACAAGAACATTTCAAATAAAAAAGAACAAAAATGCATACCTGGCGCTGTTGGAGTGCTTTTGGACCAAACTTATAACCTGCTGAGTATTTCCAACCTCACCATCGGTCAGGAGAAACAGCTGTCTTGGGTGACCTTTAACCAGGGGCTGAGAAAACACCCACTGCAAAGGGGAAAGGATTTCGGTTCCTCCGAGATCGGCTTCCATGCTCCCAGCAAGATCGGTGGCTTTCTTTAAATTCTCGTCATTGTACAGTACACTTTTATCGAACAGTGTCTTGTAGCTGCTTCCAAAACCAACAACATTAAAATAACAACCGTCCGGCAGACTCTTAATGAATAGAAGGAGTGTTTCCCGAGCGCTGTCATTCTTACTTCCCCACATGCTCCAACTGCGATCAACCACAAACACAAATTCGCCCTTTTCCGACGACTCTGAGGTTTTGAATTCTGGGAAAAAATTCAGCATGACGACAGGACTTGCCATGAATCCTTCTTCGTCTTCCGTTCCTTCTGTTTTCACTCCTCTCTCTACGATTGCTTGCGGTTTAAAAGGCTCGCTCGTCAAAATGTGTACCTCTACGTCTTTGTCAAACGTATGCGCTTCTGCGAGCGTTATACTGGCTTGCGTTGCATCGCTCTCGTTTATCTCGACCTTCAAAGTGTTAGACGAAGAAGTAACCTCGCTGATGGAGGAAATAGCTTTCACTTTCATCTCAAACTCGAACCCGTATGGCGATGAAACGGCGGCTAATCGTGGAACTTGTGCGCTCAGACTGGGGGCAGTGTCTTGAGGAGTGTACCTGGGATTTAACACTGTTGGCAGCACGAACACGACTCGACCTTCGGATTCGACGGCAAGCTCTGTCACGAACCGCAGCTCGACGACAGCCTCCTTCTCCGGCGGTAAGTTTCCAACGCTAATCTGAAAAATGTCCGAGCTTTCTTCCAGCAGAAACGCGCTGTGACCGCTACTAATGGCATCGTCATAGGTATCTTGAGCTTCTTGCTTCTCTTGTACCTCTGCCACGATGGTTCGACCATCGATTGTAGCTTGGAATCCACACACAGCTGCCTGTTTATCCAGAGGAAAAATAAAAATTGCCTCAATGGGATTGCTCTCCTTGTTCGAGTATTTCATCGTTGACAACACGTGTGCTGTAAAACCCTGCAAGTCGACTTTAATCTTGATGCTCTCCAAAGGAACTCTCGAACCATTCTCTTTTTGCACAAGGCCAAATCTTCCAGCCATTCTCGAACTATTCGCTGACAAATCGAAAGCTCCAGTGCAAATAGTTCTCAATTTCCTTGTTTGATCCTTCTTAAGCTTTTTATTCTCCAGCTGTGACATTTTTGGTTTCAACGTCACTTTCCTGACGTCATGTAAGTGAAAATTAGGTTTTTTACCGTATTTGCATTCTTCATATAAAAAAATCTTTGCACTTTCTTTCCCTAGACGAACTTAGCTAATGATATAAGTAATTGTACTTTGTTATTGATATTTTGTTGAGATAAAAATTAAAATTCGCCACCCAAAACATCCGCGTCACTTAGATAACGTATTGCGTTACATAGTGTTACTGTTGTGTAACACTTGCTTACCTGGTGATTTCGAGTCACTGATAAATGCATGAGTTCAGCAAAAGTTATTTCGCCCCATGTTCAGAGATGAACTTTCGAAAAAGTATCATAAAAACAAGTCCTTCGCGTAGATTTTATTTTAAAAAAATGACGAATTGAAAATTGTTTCAGCTGTTTCGGAGTGATCAAGTTTCGCACGTGTAAAAATTGGGTGTGACAAAATGATAGAGCAAAGTTTTCACACAAAAATTACACGGTGGTTCGTTGCTATGCGATTTCCTCCCACAGCGTCCCTGTCGTCACGTGATCCAACAGGCCTTTGTTGTTTTCGCGTTCGATGGCTCAGTAGCGGTGGAGATATTGAAATTCGCTGCTCGGCAATACAATAAACAATATGAATACATTTGCATCTTACACAGTTGCCCAACATTCCAGTTATGGCTTTCTAATAATAAAGCTTGCATACGCTTCCGTTTGGTAACGAAAAGCGAGTTTTACTCAGTCCCTTTCTGAGACAAATTCCTGGTTTAAACGCTAGCTAAAAAGGTCAAAATCGTTACTTTCAGGGGTAGGTATATTCTTCCCATACTAAAGTATGTTTTTGATTTCGGGACCCCCCCTTAGGATTGTGTTTTCAAGGTGAAATCGTTTAAGAATGTGAATTTGGCGCGTTGTGAGGGGGAAATCCATCCTGGGTAATTTTCTATTCTCGTTGTATCCTACCTGGAGCAACTTCAGAATACCCCGCAACTCATTTACATGTCATTGAATAAGAATAGCGTGTATTGTGTTATGCCTCGATCTTCAAAGCCTCCCGACACATGTAAGTGAGGCGGACCAAAGTTGCGGGGTATTCTGAAGTTTAGCACCGTAAATTTGTACATTTTAAACCCCGATTTTATCGAGCGCTCGATGCTTCTTTCTGGCAGCCATATTGGATTCTCTACAGATCGCCGATCGTTGTGTATAATTACGGCAGTGAAAAGACCATTCGAGGAAGAATCTTCGTATGGCCAGCAATTTTTCAGGGGATAAACGGGACGATAGGTAAGCAAAGCAATTCTGAACGTCGAATTTGCGTTTGTGTGGTTATGTTGAATAACTTAAATTTCTTGCTCACTTTGCAGTCGAAAACGCAGAAAATACAATAAGCCTGATTCTCACCAAGGACGCTGTGATTCTAGTAGAACTTTTCACGCATTCTGGAAGAGTTCATCTTCACATGTAGCTTTGAAAAGAAAAGGAGAGTTACAAGAACAAAACAAAAGGCTATCACAGGACATTGAAGCCAAAAAGGCTCGGCTGGATGAATATGGTAATATTATAACTTTGAGTGTTTTCGAAACGTGCAAAAGATTTCATTTTTACCACCATGCTACTCTGAAGTTCGAACGGAAAATTAAGTTATGTATGTACAACATTCTGTTCCTTTAGTATTTTACTTACATGTGATTGCAAAAAATGTTGAGATCTAATTCCTCTGTTTGTTTTTTTTTTGTTTTTTTTTTTTAAGAGGGACTAATACAAACTTCTGTTGCTCAGAAAGATGCAGTAGAAGAAGAGCTAAAAAGCCTTCAAAAGAGTGTGGAAGAAAAGGAAGATCAAGTAAAGCAACAAGAGGAAAAAGTAACACAATTAAATGAGCAATATCACAAATTTAAATCTCTGCTTGAACAAAAAGGCTTTTCAGTAGCTAGGAGAAAAAAATGCCAGTACAACTTATGATATGATTACAAATGTCAATTCCAGCACTAAGTACAGACGAAGACAGGAGACAAAAAATGTATTAGAATTTATTCATGGGGGAAAAGAAGGGTCAATATATGGGGCTTGGGGTTATATTTCATCTACTGCTGACAATCAAACCATGGACAAACTGATTTCTGGACTTAAACGAGGGAAATATCTCCAGGGTCTGTTTGACAAGACAATGAAAGGGTATCAAAATTCAGATGAGGCTTTGAAACAAGCTGTTTTTATGAAGTACCAGAACTTTCTGTCTGGCAGAAAGTATGCCCTTGTCTGCAAAACTCAGTCTTCAGTTTTTGATCCAAACTCTGATCTATGGGTACCCCGTAACATAAAATGTTTAGGTTTGGACTTAAGGGTGCCAAATATAGCTATTTCTGACAAATGGGAGGAGAATTTTGTGAGAAGTCTTGACATTGGTCATGTTAATCAAATTCCCAATGCACCGGGTGTTTCCAGAACAATAACTGGGTTGGTGTTTATGATAATTGATCTGCACCTTAGACTTCCCTATTTATTCCGTAAGCTAATTTGTTTAATGACAACATAAATCATTTCATCATGCAATTTTCTGATGATGGGACCCCTGAGTCAAGTCAGCTAACCATGTCAATTGGCAGCCTAAAATCATGGAATTTTGGGGACAGTGTGAGAAGCAGGGATTTCCAGTACATTTTACATTGTGTCATTCAAGGGGAGAAAGATGAGGTGTTGCAAAGTATCTAGAAGCAACACACTGATGAAATGGAAATGTTAGAGGGTAATGTATTAGTTGTTTCTAACAAGCAGTGTACTGTAGAGTTTCAGCCCAGTGCTGATATGAGCTGGCAAAGCTGGGCTAACAATGAGTTAAATCAAGCTGCCACTTACCCATCTCCTTATGCTAACGTAAGCAAAGGAAATATGTGTACTATGGATGCCACTATTGGGATGGGGGAAGAAGATTTATTCAAACCTTATACTCTGGAGGTCAGAAATTCCCATGTTAAGAGGGTAAATGAGTTTATGATTTCCCTGCCATCTTCCCTGAATGAAAAAAATCGCCATTCTAGAAAACTACAGTTCATGGCAGAGAATGGAATTCGCCAGTTAGGCACCCCCCGAATTGGAATTTTTGCAGAGCGGCAGCACCCAGAGCCTATCCACTGTGAAATTAATGCATGGCAACATGTGTTAAATATCATATACAGGGTAGCAGCACAAAGAGGTGTTTTTACCAAATTTATTGATATATTAAGTGCCTCAGCTGTAGAAAGGAGAGCTGATCAAGGAAATGGTAATGGGAATAGAAAATCACAAGTTTATGTTCCACATAATGATGGTGCTGGAGAACGATCTACTACGGTTGATTTTGTTAATGCCTCTAACCAAAAGTTTGTATGTGACCTGGACAATGCACTGTCAAGTAACCATAAGGAAGATTTTGGTGAACTTAGTTGTGGGTTGGGGTATTTAGCTTCTGTGATTAAGGATCACTATAATGATGAGGCTCAGAGGCACAAAGTGGATTATGGTATAATATCATTACAGGCAAAAGAGGCTAAACATTCAGGGGTTAAAAATGACTTGGATTTGACAAACAGATCCAATACAACAACTGAAAAAGGGAAATGGTGGCAAGTCTTTTTAACAAATTTGAAGTTAGCATTCCTACCTTGCCAGAACATCAACATGCCAAGTTTTGTACACTTTATTTTCCTTTATATGCAATTATTTTTTGGAAGAGAATGTAAATGATTATATATATGTGGATGTGTAGATGCCAGGGTGACTGTCCAGTGTGCAGAGGGACAGCAACTAATACCTGAAGTACTTTCAACATTAAAACCAGTCCTATGCTCAGTATGTAATGAGAGATTTCCCGATACTGTAACATACGAGGCTCATAAAAGTGTTCACTTATGCAGCAAACAGCCTGTTGGTCCAGTTACAAATAGCTGTAATCTAAACCCTAGAAATATGAAAGTGACCTAAAAATGGAGTTGCAAAGTAGGCAATTAAGCACTAGTGGAAACAAAGATGTTCTCATGAGACGCCTTGAGGGTACATTAGCAAGTGAGACTATATAGAATAAGACTTTTCACTGTCAATGTATCACCAGAAAGCTCCATAATCATATTTTATTACCATTTATAAAGTTTACATAAGTTTACTTTTTAACCAGGTAAATTTTAACTGCAATGTCACCTAAGATTATTTATCATTGAAGTTGTAATAAAATTTAAAATAATATATTTTACACACCAGATGGAAAGCTAAATATATTTACAGGAAATACAGTGTCTAGAAAATTTCAACATGAGACCATGTTGACACAGACGTGTAACTAATGTATGTTTGAAAAAAAAGCTACAAACTCGTGTTTCTTTGATCAACACTAACCTCACAATATTAATTAATATTACCTTGTTTATTCACGAGGCTTTGTAAGCTTTTGTCGAAAACAAAATCCTCTGCTGTGTACCGTTGAATATAAAATGTCACCATAGCCTTCTGACTTTTGAGGTTGTATTCAACAACAAAAGGAGTGTTTTTAGATACAAGCTTTCCCTGTGATTTCGGTTGTTAACTGAAATGTTATTTTCTAAGAACATCCTGGCCTTCGAATCTCGCCGGCGAAAATACTTTCTCCACTGCTTGTTGCCCCCGCAACAAATATGTTCCCAGAGGGCCAAACGCCTTGAGGTACATTAGCAACTCCCCGCGTAATATAGAGGAAGACTCGAGAAGAGGGAATGTGGGTATTTTCGGTAGATCATAACCAGAAAAAATCTCGATTTGATCGCTTGCATGGCCGCAAGGTATCAACGTTTTTCCCGCAAATGGTCATGGGCTGCCAGTAAAAAGACACACGCGCGAGGACTTTTAGGATCGGCATCTTTGACACGAGATTTGTCCTAGTATAGAGGAAGACTGGAGAAGAGAGAATGTAGGTGTTTTCGGTTGATCGTAACCAAAAAAAGTCTCGATTTGATCGCTTGCACGGCCGCAAGGTATCAACGTTTTTCCCGCAAATGGTCATAACTACACAACTGTAAAAACCGTACACGAAATACGAGAATCGAACGAAACCTCTACCTCCCTCTGAAATCTTACTCTCCCTGGTCCCATGTATAATCAACCATCTCACGAAATGAAATGCGATAGCATGCTAATTATTTTATATAAAGAACTTTACAAAATTAACTAACAAGTTACAAAAAATAATAAATAGGGAATAATACATAGGCGCGCTTAGATATGGAATTAATCTTCGAGTGTTTAACTCGATAGCTCACGAGTGAGCGCAGTGAACGAGTGAGATGTCGAGTTGAACACGAAAAGAGAAATTCCATATCTACAAACAACCATGTATTATTTTGTTTATCATATAAACACAATAGCCCTTTTCTGGGAAGAAAATCCGACCTCATTAATGAATGCAAATGAAAAAATGAATTGACTATCCTCGAATAACAATCGTAGAGTGCGTTGGCGCTGACTCTTAAGATGGAAAATGCTTTGAATCATGATTACAAAAACTTCCATATATACGCGCGCCTATGTATGATTCCCAATGTATTATTTATTGTAACATGTTACTTCATTTTGTAAAGTTCTTTAAGTCTTTTGCTGAGGGAATATAAAATAATTAGCATGCTATCGCATTTCATTTCGTGAGATGGTTGATTATACATGGGACCAGGGAGAGTAAGATTTCAGAGGGAGGTAGAGGTTTCGTTCGATTCTCGTATTTCGTGTACGTGACATGTTGTCGTTTCGCCTTATTTTAGACATTTATGCCTTGTTTTAGATGGTTTTAGATAGTTTGTGAGGTGGTTGTAGATGGTTGTAGGTGGTTGTAGGTGGTTTTAGGTGGTTTTAGGTCGTTCCTTGTTTTAGTACTTACGTGGAATACTAATGGAATTACCGTAGCAACGAACCACCGTGTTATTACCACTTTTTATGATGACTTGGTAATATCTTAAGAATGTGTAACGTGTGGGTTGGTAGCTGTCGCACCACGTACACATAATTGATATCATAAGTAAGACTTTGCCTTCAATAGGACGACATCAGACATCACGTCGATAGACATCTGATCAATAACCGAGTAAATATTTGTCTTTATTTTCGGCGCAGAATGGAAATTAATTTCAAAATACAGTGCTCAAAATATCGATGAGATTCTCGTGGTAAAAACACTTCGCTCAATATTTCTAACGCTCAAATAATTTCCCCTCGCAGATATGAAACGATCGGTGACAGCTAAGCTGTCATTCTAAGTTCATCACATTTTCTCATATCTGTACCAAGGACTACATTTCATGAAAGTATGAAGAAAGCCGTGGCTATGTCAACGTACATACTTATCTACCTCAAGTCTACCTATTCCCGGTTAAAATGAGAAGTTTCTGTCTTGGTTACCGCGCATGGTAATCTTGACAAGATATATACACTTACCTGTACATTTCATCGCTGTTCTCTTACATTTCTCTCCTTTCTCAGAGACCACTTTCAAAAATCCTATGCAAGTTGTCAGGAGAAGCCTGATTTTCACGTAAAAGTCAAGCAAAAGACGAATTCATTTGGTGTCCAAGAAAAATGTGACAGAGATATAAAGCATTAGAACGCTTAAATAAATAGCTTCTCGATAAAAGAAAATACTATATGTATATGTTCAATGCTGTTTGTGTTTTCGAATATTTAATAACATTTTCTTTCAGCGAATAAGCACCGAAAATGAAACACCAAACTTAGCGAAATCTATCGTTTCCATCAGGCAGCGCATAAGCCTTCTCTCATAAATGTTTCTTTAAACATTTTTGCCTGTGCCTGCAAGTAAACATTACATTTGTTGACACAGTTAATAATGGAAATTTTAGCAATAAAACTACTAAGCTATGAAACAATCTTGACTCAACTATAGATGTCGTTATCGTCATCGCTATCGGTATTGATGTCGTTATCGTTGTCGCTATCGTTATTGATGTCGTTATCGTCATCGCTATCGGTATTGATGTCGTTATCGTTGTCGCTATCGGTATTGATGTCGTTATCGTCATCGCTACCGGTATTGATGTCGTTATCGTCATCGCTATCGGTATTGATGTCGTTATCGTCATCGCTATCGGTATTGATGTCGTTATCGTCATCGCTATCGGTATTGATGTCGTTATCGTTTCTGTCTATCGGTATTGATGTCGTTATCGTTGTCGCTATCGGTATTGATGTCGTTATCGTCATCGCTATCGGTATTGATGTCGTTATCGTCATCGCTATCGGTATTGATGTCGTTATCGTTGTCGCTATCGGTATTGATGTCGTTATCGTCATCGCTATCGGTATTGATGTCGTTATCGTTATCGCTATCGGTATTGATGTCGTTATCGTCATCGCTATCGGTATTGATGTCGTTATCGTTGTCGCTATCGGTATTGATGTCGTTATCGTCATCGCTATCGGTATTGATGTCGTTATCGTCATCGCTATCGGTATTGATGTCGTTATCGTTATCGCTATCGGTATTGATGTCGTTATCGTTATCGCTATCGGTATTAATGTCGTTATCGTTGTCGCTATCGGTATTGATGTCGTTATCGTTATTGCTGTCGCTACCGTTATCGCTATCGGTATTGATGTCATCATTATCGCTAACGGTATTGCTTTCGTTATCGCTATCGGTATTGGTGTCGTCATCATTATCGTTACCGCTATCGGTATTAATGTCGTTATCGTTATCGCTATCGGTATTAATGTCGTTATCGTTATCGCTATCGGTATTGATGTCGGTATCGTTATCGCTATCGGTATTGATGTCGTTATCGTTAGCGTTATCATTAACAGTATCATTGTCGTTATGTTCACCGTTATTGTAATCGCTGTCGTCATTATTCGGTTAACTTTCTATTTATTTAGAGGGACGTTGCATTTACAACGTGAATAACAGTGCTACTCAATTAATTTAATTTAAGTCAAATTGTGAAAACCTTCCTAAATTCGTTAGCCTAAGCATTACACTCCAACTGCCGTATGTTTGCAGAACTCTTAAACACATGAGAGCAAAAATTCCTACAATTCCCAAAAATTCGACAAAGTATTCTCACTACATTATAACGCTTGCTTAATTATTCATTGTCAAAGGTGCGAGACGAAAGAATGAACGACTGAGAGAAAACCAGTGGGTTTCTTGGCCCCTTGGTAATCTTAGTCCCTTTCGTTATGTCGCTTCTGTGCAAGTTACCACAAACTGGCTCCCTCGCACAGGCCATGAAATAGCCTTAAGCTATTTAAAAATAAGCACTGCTCAGTATAGGTAATCACATGAGGCCAAGTACTATTAAGGATTAATTGCACGAGAGTTTTCAAAATTTTCCAATTGCCCGAGTCGCGAAGCGACGAGGGCAATTTGGAAAATTTTGAAAACTCAAGTGCAATTAATCCTTAATAGTACGAGATCTCATGGGATTACTTGTTTATCAATAAAGGGCAAAATTTATACGAAGGAAAATCACGCGCGCAGTCTATTTTTATCTTTCGCCCACTTTTCAAAAATTCCTTTCCAATAGCCTGTGCTTCGTTTTGTGTTTTTGTTTTCACTTTCGCATTTCAAAAGTTCAATTAATTCGTCGTCCGCTTCAATAAAACGACAAGCCATTGTTGCAACAAAAACTTGATAACAAATTTCAAGATAACGAACCGTTGCTATGCAATGGATTAGCCAATCATTAACAGGTAATCATGCCCTCTCTTGATTACTAAAAATGCCCTCGATTAAGAAAAAAATGCCCTCTCTCTCAACCAATCAGCGCTCAGTAATTTTTCCCTTTATTGATAAACGACGAAACGAGCAGGAAACAAGCATGGACCGATTTTTCTCTTTGTTTCTTTAGGTAATTCTCAAACAAGTTGGTAAAAAAGTCATCTCAATCATCGAGTTAGCACTAAACATTGCTATACGTAAGTCTTTATACTAAAATAAAAATTGAATTGGGAATCTTGCCACTAATCCAAAATTGATCAGCCGGATCGGCCTACTAACAAGAAAAATTCCGTCACTGTCCGGCCAGATCAAACATAGTTTATCTTTTTTTTATCCCAATCTGATGGGATTTGAGTCAGCACCACGACAAACCTGGACTAACGGGCAGCCTACGTTTAGCTGCTGAAGTAATGAAGTGATTAAGGTTCTGCGTTTTACATCAAATTTATGTCCATGAGGTAATTGTGAAAAAAAGATTTTAAATAGTGTTAAATATTTATCTGGTCACAGTCCAGTATTGACCCAAACTCCCACTGCGGTTGCTGCACTCTCTAGCACTTGATCCAGAGTTAAACTCCCCGGGAGGTTCTTTTTGAGCCATTTTCTGCCTTTTTCAGCGATCATTTCCCATTCATCTTTCTGATCCGAGTATTTTCCCATCAGCAGCACCAGAGCCAGGGCGGTGGCCCACAACCGCGCTCCTTCGGCTGTGTCAGCTGCAATCTCCTTTAGGCATCCTTTGATCAAATCACTTCTACTCGCATCGCACAAGGACACCAGCTGATCTGTAAGGTCCCAAGACCCTGACGCTTTCTGTAATGAAATAACTGACAAGGCAGATTGAGAACCTTTCTTTTTCTGGCTGTGAGCGGAAACTGGAAGAGCACTATAGGAACCTATCTGCATATTGGAGGAGGATAAGGCCATGTAGCTTCCACTCTCACCTTCCACCTTAGCTTCAGGTGCCGCTAGACATACTGATTTTAGAGCTGCATGGGAATGTGCTGCTTTTTCTCCTTTTCCTTTCTTCAGTGAACCCCCAAACAGCGAAGAGAAGAATCCTTTTGACTGAGCAGACACCGCTCCAGAAGGAGGAGGGGGAGGTCTTCCAAAAGCCTTTCCGCCTCCCGTAACATTAGCCGCTAAACAAAAGTTTTGTGGCCCGCTTAGGGCGAGTTTCATACCAAGTTGCATTGATTCAAGGTTGACCACTTGTTTTTTAAGCGGTCCAGATACAGGCTCACGGCTGTCTTTGTCAACAGCCACAAACGACGTCAACTTTGATACAACATTGGCCGACTTGCTGATGCTGATAACATAACTCTTAGCTTTCTCAGACCTTGGCCCACTGTCGCCTGATTCACTGACATCATCTTGTTTTTCTTGGATGGAATTCTTGGCTGCTAGTTGATGAAGAAGGATTCCCTCTTCGGTTCTTGCTTCTGTATCCCAGCTGTCTTCAGTGGCAGGGGATGCAAACTGAATGATATGATCTACTTCATCGTCATTTTCTGCGTTACCTGTAAGTCTCACTTCATTCACTCCGCTGCCATTTTTTTTGTTTCCAGACGCCTTCAAAACGCCATAAACCACAAGCCTGTCTCCACTGAAAAGCGGAGGAAGAGACGAGGGGATCTGCTGCACAGTCCAGCCTTTGTCTAGTTTCCAGGTCATGCTCACATTTGTGATGACAGGTTGCCGGGCTCGCTTTAATGTCTTGATTACCTGTTAATTTAATGTTGAAAACTACTTTAATCTAAAGCCACTTATTATTTCCCAGCACTTTTACTATCGTGTGCAATAGTAATGTTTAAGTTAGACAGTGTTTCTTGTGTTTGTTAGTAGGAATCGACTTCATTTTGGTTTGTGAAGATGCAGTAGCTTTCCACGATTCAACATCAACGGCAAAAACAGGAACATCAAAAGCCCTATTCACACCAATCCGGAAGAATTTCAATACAGAAACTTAGACAACGAGGCCTTGGAGAGAAATTGATAAAAAATGCCACCGACTTCTAGGACGGCAGGAAATGAACGTCGTTCGCAAAACAATGATGCTAGAGGTTTACTTACAGTTTTCAAATCTAGTCGAATAATCGTGGGTGCAGATTTTAATTCTAAAGAAAAAGTGCAGTCTTGAAGCTACACTGTTGAAACTAGAAGATGGTTTATAACAAGGAAAAAAAGATTACAAAACAATAAATTAAAAATTTCCGTTAAATTTATTACAATGATCAACAAGAGAAATGAGAGAAACGCCAGTTTTTTCTTCTTGAAACCCTTGGCCAAGTTTGAGTGATTCATCGAGACAGGGAAATCTTTCTCAAATTTCACCCAGGAGCTCTCCTGGTGCGTTGAATTGCAAAGAGAATGCAACCTAAATATTCATTTTTATGCACGTCGTCTACTTTATTTCGTTTGAACTCCTGTCAAAAACAGTTTCACATACACCGTGTATACCGATAATTTTAATATTTAAGGTAAATATACTAGAGTCATTCTTTGCTGAACGAAATTAAATTACAAAAATTTGGTTTTACTGTATTTTGGCATCCTGTTACTAACAGTGCATGGAAGCCCATAACAGAGCTTTCTTGATGACACATATAGCACAACATTTCTTCTTTTTCAAGCTTGTAAAATTAAAAAATTAAATAGTAATAAAATGACAAAATTTGGGATTTACAATTACCAAGAAACACATTTACATACAGTATACTAATTACCATATTACTTTCAGACAAGAGCAGTGAATATATTCCAGTAACATAAGATATCACAATAAATTGAGATGATATAATATGATTAGAGTTGAGTGGAGTAATAACTTTATCAAATCTGTACAGTTGTTCATTTAAAATGTAGTTCATACCTTTGCATTACTGTGTCACTTCATTTTAGGAGGTTAAGTGCATAATCATGATAAATTCAACAGCTTTAAGAAGGTCTTTGAGTAAGTTCCTAGCTGTGTGATTTGGTAACTATTAAACTACTGCATGTCTGAATTCAAATCTACACCAGCAATGTCAGTTGTGGTGATCTTCCTTGGACTAGTAAGTCATTTTCATAATTACTGTGTATCCAACACCATTCTTTGCAAGATAACAAACTTTGGCCAGTCTTGAGGTGAGTCAGTGAATATTTAGATTACAATTCTTAAAAACAAGTAAATGTACAGCAGAAAAAGGAAAATTCATATCTAAATTTTTGGCAGAAACTGCCTCTTGATTCTCAAACAAAGTCTTCTTGCTAGTACCTTACGAAATATATAGAGAACAGTATGGAGAGAATTCATACTGATGTTAGGGTGAGAAGGCTTAAATAAAACATTACACAAGACTACCAAGTAATGCATGTCATGCCCTTTTCTATTTTAACCAATCCTGTAAAACACTTAACAACAAACATATAAATATTAATTTAATGCACCCTTAAACTTTGCAACAAAATGTAAAACTTATACCACATTTTTAGTATTAATGTTACAAAATATAAAAGTTTTCATTTGATATAATTCACAACTGGGGATATTTAAAAATATGTTGTTTTGAAAGATGTAAAACTTGGCATTAAGACAAGTAGATCATGCAGTATCACTTGTACTCAAATAATCCTGTCATGCCATAAGGCATTCTAGAGTGCAGAGAACAGCAACAACAGAGTCCTGTCATGCAATAGGGCATTCTAGAGTGCAGAGAACAGTAACAACAGAGTACTGTCACCCAATAAGGCATTCTAGAGAGCAGAGAACAGTAACAACAGAGTACTGTCACAAAATAAGGCATTCTACAGTGCAGAGAACAGCAACAACAGCAAAAAGAAACTAGAAAGTGATGACACAAAACTCCTCCAAGGTTTTAATGGAGAATGGCTATTGAAAGTCCTTGTCAAAGAGACCAAACAGAGTATGTGTCAAATATTTTCACGAGATTGTCATGTGTAAGTAACCTTTAAAGTACATAGCTTCAGAAGGACAACTACTGCAACAATCACTTCAAGGAAAAAACAGTGGCAACATACACTGTAAGCCTTCAGTAAGCTTACATAGAAGTCTACTGACGTGCCAAAAAGATACAAACTTTTAACTACAGCTGTATAGCCTCCCACGTAAAGACACTTCTCCTTCCCTTTGCTCAGCACAGAAGTAGTCAGCATGTGTCTTCTATCTTCAGTATCTAATGCTTTGTTAATTTACACAAATGATGAGCATAATGAACTGAATCATGTTGGTGATTATAAGTGTCTGTAAATAAAATATCAAATTCTCTAACCCAGGAGGTGCAAGGTTCAAAAGACAGTTTAATGGTTCTGGTTCTCACTCAAGTTGTCTTTAAAATTATCTACTGATCATGGAGGTTTGACAATAACAAAACAGATTTCAAATAAAATAATTTCATACCTTGGCCTGCAACCGGTCTTCCTTGGCTGTGACAAACTCTGCAGTCCCCTTTCCCACTCTGGCAACTCCTTTGACGAGTGCAGTTGATGCACCAGCCCCAATTCCAAATGTAAAACACCTACAATAATTGAACACAATTGAATCATGAGAAAATACTCATCTTCAGAATCAAGTCAAGAGGAAAATTTGTTGGGAAAAGGGTAGGCCTTATATTACAAGTCCAAAATGTGTTTATTTTCCAGTATTCCCCACAAATTTTCATTACAATTTTCAACACTCCCACAGTTTATTTCTTTACAACTGATTGCCAAAAAAGTGAGAGACTATGCCCTCTGACAGGAACCAGAAGGTCATTCTACAGGAGTGTAACAGAGAGTATACGACCCTCTAGCTGGGAAAAATCATTGATATAGAGAGGTACTGATAAAACCATTTTTTTTTTCACTATGAGATATCAATACACCTGTAATAACAAAAGTCTTTACACCAAATACCAAGAATTCATGCAGGATGATGTAATTAACCCTTTAAGTCCCACTAGTGACCTAGAAAGAATTTCTCCTTACACTATCAGTACAATATCAAGCAGACAAATAATGAGAATAAAGAAAAACATCAATTAGTGGATTATTTGTTGATCCAATTTCAAATTCTCCAAACTAACATCATATGAATTATGTGGGAGACACTAAGGAGAATCAATAATGAGATCTTGGGAGTTAAAGGGTTAGGACTCAGGATGGGAAAACAAAAAAGATCTTAAATGTCTGAATACTACATAAAATCCCTAACAGACCTACATGTACTAATTCCTATGTTTTCCAGGTAAGGTACAGATTATACTGTTGGCCTAAAAGTTGCAATTAAAGATTAAAACACATTGCAAAGTGCGCTGAGGTATGTGGGGGGGGGGGGGGAAGGGGAGGGGAGCAGGGTGCATCCTGTGTACTAAACCAAGTGTATACTCTGCCTATTATTTTTCCTCCCCTGATTGTTTTTGCTTCTTGCACACAAGCCAGAGCTTTTCATTCAAATAAAAAAGTCCAACCACATATAATTTTGCCAAGCATGATCCTGATGAAATGATTTGAAAAGACAACAAGACTGAATGTTTGTCAAACTAATGTTATGCTGCTCTGGTAATATCATTGGCACTTAAATGTGTGTGGGAGAGGGGGGGGCAGAACTGCTCTTTTCTGCACTTGAGGGGGCTGTAGTCTCCCTGTATCCCATCCCACCTCCCCCCCTCCCCCCCCACTCTGCTGCTTATGTTAATGCACTGAAGAATTAGAGACAATCAAAATTCTACATAGAATCACTACAAATTAATATTGTGAAATATGGAGATAACACATTTCCAAAGAAGCAAACACAAGAACATTTCAAATAGAAAAGAACAAAAATGCATACCTGGCGCTGTTGGAGTGCTTTTGGACCAAACTTATAACTTGCTGAGTATTTCCAACTTCACCATCGGTCAGGAGAAACAGCTGTCTTGGGTGACCTTTAACCAGGGGCTGAGAAAACACCCACTGCAAAGGGGAAAGGATTTCGGTTCCTCCGAGATCGGCTTTCATGCTCCCAGCAAGATCGGTGGCTTTCTTTAAATTCTCGTCATTGTACAGTACACTTTTATCGAACAGTGTCTTGTAGCTGCTTCCAAAACCAACAACATTGAAATAACAACCGTCCGGCAGACTCTTAAGGAATAGCAGGAGTGTTTCGCGAGCGCTGTCATTCTTGCTTCCACTCATGCTTCCACTGCGATCAACCACAAACACAAATTCGCCCTTTTCCGACGACTCTGAGGTTTTGAATTCTGGGAAAAAATTCAGCATGACGACAGGACTTGCCATGAATCCTTCCTCGTCTTCCGTTCCTTCTGTTTTCACTCCTCTCTCTACGATTGCTTGCGGTTTGAAAGGTTCTCTCGTCAAAATGTGTATCTCCACGTCTTTGTCAAACTTGTGCGCTTCCGCGAGCGTTATATTGGCTTGCGTTGCATCGCTCTCGTTTATCTCGACCTTTAAAGTGTTAGACGTAGAAGAAATCTCACTGATGGAGGAAATAGCTTTCACTTTCATCTCAAACTCGAACGCGTATGGCGATGAAACGGCGGCTACTCGTGGAACTTGTGCGCTAAGACTAGGGGCACTGTCTTGAGGAGTGTACCTGGGATTTAACACCGTTGGCAGTACAAACACGACTCGACCTTTGGCTTCGACGGCAAGCTCTGTCACGAACCGCAGCTCGACGACAGCCTCCTTCGCCGGCGGTAAGTTTCCAACGCTAATCTGAAAAATGTCCGAGCTTTCGTCGCTCTCTTCCAGCAGAAACGCGCTGTGACCGCTGCTAATGGCATCGTCATAGGTATCTTGAGCTTCTTGCTTCTCTTGAACCTCTGCCACGATGGTTCGACCATCGATTGTAGCTTGGAATCCACACACAGCTGCCTGTTCATCCAGAGGAAAAATAAAAATTGCCTCAATGGGATTGCTCTCCTTGTTCGAGTATTTCATCGTTGCCAACACGTGTGCTGTAAAACCCTGCACGTCGACTTTAATCTTGATGCTCTCCAAAGGAACTCTCGAACCATTCTCTTTTTGCACAAGGCCAAATCTTCCAGCCATACTCGAACTGTTCGCTGACAAATAGAAAATTTCCTTCGTAAAAAAATATAACGCTTTGCACTTGAAAGCTCCAGTGCAAATATTTCTCAGTTTCCTTGTTCGATCCTACTTAAACCTTTTATTTTCCAGCAGTGATATTTTTGGTTTCAACGTCACTTTTATGACGTCATGAAAGGGAAAAAAGGTTTGTCAGACTTTTTACCGTATTTGCATTTTTCATAAAAAAATATATTTACACATTCTTTCCCTAGACGAACTTAGCTAGTAATATAAGTGATTGTTCTTTGGTATTGATATTTTGTAAAATAAAAATTCGCCACCCAAAACACACGTTATCTTAAGTAACGTATTGCGTTACATAGTGTCACTGTTGTGTAAAACTTGCTCTCATGGTGATTTCGAATCACTGATATATGCATGAGTTCAGCAAAAGTTATTTCGCTCTATGTTCAGAGATGAACTTTCGTAAAAGTAAAGAATAAAAACAACTCCTTCGTGTAGATTTTATTTTAAAAAAAATGACGAATTGAAAATTGTTTCACCTGTTTTAGAGTGATCAAGTTTCGCACGTGGAAAAATTGACGTGACAAAATGATAGAGCAAAGTTATTACCACTTTTTTGTGATGACCAGGTAATATCTTAAGAATGTGGAACATGTGGGTTGATGGCTGTCGTGCCACGTACACAGAATTGGTATCACAAGTAGGACTTTGCCTTTTACGACGTCAGACACCACGTCGATAGACATCTCATCAATAGCCGAGTAGATATTTGTCTTTATTTTCAGCGCAAAATGAAAATTAATTTCAAAATACAGTGCTCATAATATCGATGAGATTCTTGTGGTAAAAACACTTTCCTAAATATTTCTAACACTCAAATAATTTCCCCTCGCAGATATTGAAGAAATGTAAAATGGTTTCCGTGTTTTCATAGCCTGATGTAAACACGCGGGAGGTTGGAAGAACACGAGATAAGCGTAGGAAACCACGACGCGAAGCGAAGTGGTTTCCAGCTTATCGACTTGGGAGGTTGGGAGAACACTCGATAAGCTGGAAACCACTTTGCTTCGCGTCGTGGTTTCCTACGCTTATCTCGTGTTCTTCCAACCTCCCGCGTGTTTACATCAGGTTATGTAAACACAGAAACCATTTTACATTTCTTTTATAAAATAACTAATGAAAGAGGAACGAAAACCGTGTTTACATACGCTCATGTAAAATGGTTTGTTTTAGAGTGATCAAGTTTCGCACGTGGAAAAATTGACGTGACAAAATGATAGAGCAAAGTTATTACCACTTTTTTGTGATGACCAGGTAATATCTTAAGAATGTGGAACATGTGGGTTGATGGCTGTCGTGCCACGTACACAGAATTGGTATCACAAGTAGGACTTTGCCTTTTACGACGTCAGACACCACGTCGATAGACATCTCATCAATAGCCGAGTAGATATTTGTCTTTATTTTCAGCGCAAAATGAAAATTAATTTCAAAATACAGTGCTCATAATATCGATGAGATTCTTGTGGTAAAAACACTTTCCTAAATATTTCTAACACTCAAATAATTTCCCCTCGCAGATATTGAAGAAATGTAAAATGGTTTCCGTGTTTTCATAGCCTGATGTAAACACGCGGGAGGTTGGAAGAACACGAGATAAGCGTAGGAAACCACGACGCGAAGCGAAGTGGTTTCCAGCTTATCGACTTGGGAGGTTGGGAGAACACTCGATAAGCTGGAAACCACTTTGCTTCGCGTCGTGGTTTCCTACGCTTATCTCGTGTTCTTCCAACCTCCCGCGTGTTTACATCAGGTTATGTAAACACAGAAACCATTTTACATTTCTTTTATAAAATAACTAATGAAAGAGGAACGAAAACCGTGTTTACATACGCTCATGTAAAATGGTTTGTTTTAGAGTGATCAAGTTTCGCACGTGGAAAAATTGACGTGACAAAATGATAGAGCAAAGTTATTACCACTTTTTTGTGATGACCAGGTAATATCTTAAGAATGTGGAACATGTGGGTTGATGGCTGTCGTGCCACGTACACAGAATTGGTATCACAAGTAGGACTTTGCCTTTTACGACGTCAGACACCACGTCGATAGACATCTCATCAATAGCCGAGTAGATATTTGTCTTTATTTTCAGCGCAAAATGAAAATTAATTTCAAAATACAGTGCTCATAGTATCGATGAGATTCTTGTGGTAAAAACACTTTGCTAAATATTTCTAACACTCAAATAATTTCCCCTCACAGATATTGAAGAAATGTAAAATGGTTTCCGTGTTTTCATAGCCTGATGTAAACACGCGGGAGGTTGGAAGAACACGAGATAAGCGTAGGAAACCACGACGCGAAGCGAAGTGGTTTCCAGCTTATCGACTTGGGAGGTTGGGAGAACACTCGATAAGCTGGAAACCACTTTGCTTCGCGTCGTGGTTTCCTACGCTTATCTCGTGTTCTTCCAACCTCCCGCGTGTTTACATCAGGTTATGTAAACACAGAAACCATTTTACATTTCTTTTATAAAATAACTAATGAAAGAGGAACGAAAACCGTGTTTACATACGCTCATGTAAAATGGTTTTATGGCCAATTAGAGCGCGCGTACTATTTGAATTATTTTATAATAAACGATCGGTGACAGCTAAGCTGTAATTCTAAGTTCATCACATTTTTTTATATCTGTACCAAGGACTTCATTTCATGACAGTATGAAGAGAGCCGGGAGAATTGTAGACACAAAAGCGCTATTTCAGTTGTATAAAGGACTGATAACACTATCGAACACTATATCCAAGCATAAATCCCTATCCAGCGGACAAGAGTGAACAAACGTACTGCTCTATATTTCATCAAAGAATATTCGGAGTTTAAGCAGCCAATGAGCGCGCGCCTTCAACACCTTTTACTGTTTAAGTATATAATAAAATCCATGATCCGCAATCCGTTTAAAGAAGTACACATAAATCGACTCGCGAAGCGGTGTCTCAACTATCCTCGCTTTTTATGGGTATTCATCTTCACCCATCTCTACTATATACCATATGCATTATAAACTGAATACATTCTATAAACAGCTCTTAACCGTCAGTCGTAAAAGCCATCATCCATTATGACCGTCCTATCTGGGCCTTATTCTTTTACATACAGATTTCAATCATTAAAGTCTGTCCTGTACCTGGGTGAGTTAAGCGCCATAAGTGTTTTCTTGAAATAACAAGGGTGGTAACCATTTTCCTTTATTTTTGTATCCTAAGCATTTGAACATTTCATGAATAAAATTCTTATACTCAATAAAAAATACGTTAAAATGTAGTAGTACAGCTTTCTTCGGTATAAAAATGGAAGTATCTAACTGGCAAACCACGGACGGCTTATGTCATAGCATTTTAATTTATTTTCACAGACTTATTTGAGTCCACCTATTCCCAGTTAAAATGAGAAGTTTCTGTCTTGGTTATCGTGCATATTAATCTCGACAAGATATATATCTTTAATTCCATCTCTGTTCTTTTCCATTTCTCTCCTTTCTCAGAGACCATTTTCCAAAATCTCATGCAAGTTTTCAGTAGATGCCAGGTTTTCGCGGAAAATTCAAGCATAAGATGAATTCATTTAGTGTCCAAGAAAAATGCGACAGAGTATTAGAGCATTAAGAACGCTTAAATTAATGGCTTCTCGATAAAAAAAAAGACACATAGATAGGTTCAATTCTGTTTGAGTTTTCGTATATTTAATGATATTTGATTTCCCCGAATACGAAACGAAACTGAAACACCAGACTTGACGAAATCAATTGTTTCCATCAGGCTAAGTATAAGCTTTCTCTTATAAATATTTCTTTACGAATTTTTGCCTGTGTCTGTAAGTAGCTTCTGATACGAAAAGATTGCATTTGTTGACACAGCTTATGATGGAAATTTTGGCTATAGAACTTCTAGACTATGAAACAATCTTGAATCAACTATTAGCAAAAGGTACGATTCGAATTCATACAAAAATTCAGCTGTCACTGTCTCTTGACAGTGAAGAAAAGATGGCATCGCAAAATCGTCACGACTGTTGTAGTTCGGAAGCTGTTACTTTCACCAGTAGAATTGACACCATAAAAGTTCGATATAGCTCTTCTTAAAATATGTTTTTGGTTTTGTAAAAAGCGCGAGTACTTTGCTAGTGTTCTGCTCTCTGCTGCTGTACATGTGATAAAGATATATTCCTTATAAGGACAACAGTCATCAACTGGAACACTCCTGAAATTGTTTTTCCATGGAGTTAGCCAATTCAGTAATCACAGGAGGGTAAAAGATCTTCACAAGTCTTGCAGCACGCTTTCTTGTAATAGGGAATGCAACAGTAATTTACTCTCCTGACAATCTGACAGTGGGCTATCGCTGGATTGTCTTCGCATTTGTAAGGAGGCTCTGTTGGTTCTGTGAGACCAAAAAAATAGTCATATCAAAGTGATATCTTAGCAAGTGTTCAAGATGAAACACATACCCTAGTCTCGTCATCCATGGCTGCATAATCGTCTCAGTAAAAATGGATCACCATAACAACAGCTGTCGTTATCTTTATGGTCATCGTTGTCGTGGTCGTTATCGTTATCGCTAACGGTATCAATGTCGTAATCGTTAGCGTTATCATTAACACTGTCATTGTCGTTATCGTCATCGTTATCATAATTGCTGTCGTCATTGTTCCAATCAAATTTGCCCGCTAGGATAACAGACACCCAGAGTAAACTACCTGGGAAAAGTCAAATCTCGTCGAGCTCTTATCACACGACTGAAAAAAAATTCTGATATGGATCTCAAAAAGAAAAAAGAAAGTAAAAAGCCGCAAGATTCCCTGTGTCGCTTTAATTTAAATCTTGCTCAATACCCTCGATCTCAGCTTTCCAAACCCACGTCCAAACATGCAGAACTTAGGAATTTTCGTGGGCATTTCCCAGTTAGCAACAAAGATTGATTAAAAAAATAACATCTCTGAGGCCATACGTACCTTCTCTCTTTACCACATACAAATACATTTGGTCGCTAGCTCCGCTGTAGTTATTGCGACCACTGCACTGATAATATCCGCTGTCAGAAGGCTGAACTTGCGAAATAACAACATCGGTTCTCGACACCCTCACCCTTCCCTGCTTGCTTATGAGAGAATTGTCCTTGTACCACTCCACTATGGGGCTTGGTACACCACCTGACTTGCACGTGATCTTAACATCTTCACCAGGACTCACGGTCTTATTTTTCGGTGATACAGAAATGGAGACTGGGACTATTACAGCTAACCGGGCTTCTACAGTGTGCATTGGACCGACCCAATTAGTTGCAAAGCAAGAGTAAACGTCATTATCTTTCTGTTTAATGTCAATGATCCTCAGGTCACCATTTTTAAGTATTTGTATCCTTTCTGAATCCAGACTGCTAACAGGAACGGCGCCTTTTCGCCAGCTGATGACGGGAGCTGGATAGCCTGTTGCTCGGCAACGGAACAAAACTTCGGTGCCAACGTAAGCCACTGAAAATGTAAAACGTACCAAGTCACTTGCCCGAAGATTTCACTGGAACAAATGTCTGTCTTGTGACCAAATCAAAGTAATCGAAACGGTGTTTCAGAAAAAACGAAAAATCTCACAAAAATTAAAATTTTGAACGCGTCCCAATTCGTTTTAAATGTGCATCTGAGCCGCATCATTTTGCCCCTTTTTTTTCGACGCCTAGTTGAAAATTGCTTGGAAATCTCCATGATATAACTTGTCCCCCAGCACCTTCCAAATAACAAAAGGAAGGCACTTTTATCGAAAGTTCAATGTTTTCTGAACGAACCATTTATCTAGTCAGGTATTGGAAATATGCAACGAGTAGATAAAGTTTTGAAAAAAGAAATACTCCTACAATTTATCTTTGTATGATGACAATTCCTAAAAATCTACACCTGATCCTTTTTTTATAATCCCGTCAACTTACTTGTATCCTTCGGAGGTTGGACGATCTGCGCTGCCTGCAACTTTCGAGCAGTTGTCGGAGGCACGGTCGTGGTTTCTGGTGTTGTTGATGGAGGCACAGTCGTGGTTTCTGGTGTTGTTGATGGAGGCACAGTCGTGGTTTCTGGTGTTGTTGACGGAGGCACGGTCGTGGTTTCTGGTGTTGTTGATGGAGGCACAGTCGTGGTTTCTGGTGCTGTTGGCGGAGACACAGTCGTGGTTTCTGGTGTTGTTAACGGAGGCACGGTCGTTGTTTCTGGTGTTGTTAACGGAGGCACAGTCGTTGTTTCTCGTGTTGGTAACGGTGGCTCAGTCGTTGTTTCTGGTGTTGTTAACGGAGGCACAGTCGTGGTTTCTGCAGCTGTGTTGATGACTTTAGTCATAGTATTTACTGTGGTAATTTTTTGTGTCGTTGGCTCGGTGGTGGTAATTATCTCTGTTGTTGTTACCGTAACAGGAACTGTGAATAGAATCATAAAGTCGCTGTTAGCGAATCCTTGTGCTTTTTCACAAGAGTTTATTAGAAAAGTTTTTAGTCTTACGTTTCCTTCAGCTCAAGTGCATAGTCTACGAAAAAGATTATGCTCTTAGCGACGTCGGCATAAGATCAAAGGTCATAAAGAGGCAGAAAGACGAATTGACTTCTAGAAAATAGTATGTTACCCTGAAAAAAAGAATTGCGCTCGTTCTGTTCCTGCGTAAGAAGCTCTCACTTTAAAGTTCGTTTAATACATTAACAAGCAAACCTTCGCACTCTTTCTCGACACATATCTCTTCCGACACAGGTTTATCTTCCGCTTTGCACCATTTTTCTTCGATGTCCTCCTTTGAGTCCGCGAAGCACTTAACACTTCTTCGTCTGACACCCTGGCCACAGGACTTGGAACACTATTTGTGTGAATTAAAACGCAAACTCAAAAAACTTAAATTCTGGTGCGCCAAAATAAAAACTCTTAGTGCGAGCAAAGACTGTTATCTACAGAACTTCAAGCTCTTTGTTCGCGCATTTATTTTGATACTGGACTGACTAGCACCAAGGGTATTTTAGTGTTATCAACTGAGTTGATAACCTAAATTGGCCACCGTAAAGAGTTTAAAAGCTGACATTTTGAGCGTCAGCCCTTCGTCTGTGCACCCGGCCTCGGTGGGGCAATTAGCGATTCTTTTCTATCGCTTCCCTGTAAAGAAAGCTGAGTAACATGCGATCTGATCATTTTCAACGAGTCCTTACCAGGGGTACCGCCCCTTAAACAACTAAGTTGACCTTTATCTTATCTTAAAACTAATTAAGCACAACTTAAAACCAAACAGTTTCAGTGTGTTGGTCTTCGTTGCCACTCCGATTGCCACACGACCAATAACAATAGAATCCACTAAATATGGATTTCATTCATGTACATCGAGTAGCGCAAACGAAAAGACAGAGTAGAAATATAACCACGAAAGTAATTGTAATTTTCGGCGAATGGTTGTTTACAGCCAAGAATCTATGTAGCTTATAAAACTTTGGATCTATTTCCAGCGAATTTGAGTTCTAAAACTCTTTTGTCGCATAGTTTTAGGTTCTGCAGAGGCTTAAGCAGTAATGCTTTCCTGAAACCCTTTTGATGTTTATTGTTTTAAGCTGAATTTTGAAACATCGAGATTGACCTCTTACCGGTTCCCAAGGGTAGATATACCAGCCCGCCTGGCAGGGTCGGACAGAACACTTTTGTATCTTTGACATCTCTTGTTCTCTTTTACACTGATCACTCGGCATGATGCGAAGGGTTTTCGCTCCTTCTCGTTTGGCACACAAAACATTTCTCATTTGCATCCCCAAACCACATGTAGCTGTACACTAGAAAAAGTCACAGAAAAAGAAGATACTAGTTATACTGTCTAAGTTGTCTAAAGTACAGGGTGTGCAGATGGGATCCGTGAACCACTCATTATGGCCGTTTTGCTCTCACAAAGAAGTTAATACGATTTTTATGGAAATGATACTCTAAATATTATCCGTACATAAATACGTTAAACTGACTGAGGATATGGAATTCATTTTTAACTCTGACAAACTCATTCTTTGCTTAAATACCTGTTTTATTATCTTTTTCTATACAAATTTAAAATCAAACTGTCTTGAATGAAACATCACGCGGTAAAATAAAATTCGGTTAGATTAGAAAGATATGGTATTTGTTCGAGCGTTGATACGATACGAAGCTGATACGAAGTCTTCGTGTAAATTGAATAAGCGACTTTTATTTTAAGTTATCACACTGGAAAAGGGTCTATCTAAGGTCTGTTTCAATACGGAAAGACTTCATCCACTAAAACGTGTTTCATGGTGCTCACCCTACTCCACTGGGAAGCGTGCCACATGGCGGGGCACGGGGTTTCGCTTAAGCATTCCTTCTTGCTGATTGGTCGAGACGAAATGTCACAAAGTTCATCCGGGTACTTTTCCTCGTTGTTGGCGATGCCCACGCAATAAACCATTCTGGTGCTCATTCCCTTTCCACATTTTGGATAACACTAACGATTTATAAACAAACAAATAATTATATATTATTAGTAAGAAAGACCGTCGGGAAGGAAGGTGTCACTCGTTAATTTGCTACAAGCGTGGTACAAACAAAAAAAATTGTCCTTTAAAGGAATCTAGCCCCAGATCTTCGCAATATGGAAAGTACACGTCACACACGAGCCTTGTATGTGGGCGAGTTCACCAAGTAAAACTCTATGATGGTGCATCGACCATAAAATCAGCAAACTCCCTGATTTGTTCTTTTTCTCACTTTCGTGAGAAATGAAAGATACCTTTCTACGTTATTGCAACTATGTAGTACATGTTTATTTACTGCTTTAAGAGTATCTCGATCTCTTTGATACTCCACAAAGAATTATCCAAAAACTTCTTTTACTCTTTTTCTTTAATTCGATGAGAAAGGACCAAAGCTTGATTGGAGTATGTAGAGAAAATAATGTCTGTTACTAACTTTTATATATCTCTTTTGAAACACTTAAATAAATCTGAGTTGAAAATTAACCAATATCCTCGACCAAATGTATCATGAGATTGTAACTCATATGTTTTATATCATGTCCATTTCACTCACCTAATTAGGACTTTTCACACAAAGAAGGAAAAATCTACAATCCTACCTCGCTCCAGTTCGACGCAAGCCAGGTTACAGTGCAAGGACCTGGGTTACACTTCTCGGTTTCTTTCGGCTTCGAAGCGAGGTCACAGCTTTCTTGGGGTAAAATGGCACCCGTTTCAAAGGCCTCACACGTGACATTTCGGTATTTATTGCCCATCCCACAAGAGGCAGAACACTGCAGGATAGAATTAAGCAACGATCGATGAGTTCTTATAGTGGATCGGTTATCTTATTTAAAAAGAAAAAGAAGAAGAGCATTTCGAGAATATTTGCTCAGGTGAAAATAGAGACGCGCAGGCTCCGATTGGTTAAGGATTGCGTCATATCTCGCCATAATCACCCTGCGTGGGGTGATTGTTTAAGGGCGTTTGGGATCAAACTGGTTGCAATTGGCTTCTTATAAGGCATTTAAAGCCTGTTCAAAACTTTGCTCAAAGTCAACACAATCATTACACATTATCGCGCTATATACAGCTTCTGCGCCTGTCAAGTGCAGTCTAGAAAAAGAGCATGCGATCTACGAGCCAGACTCCCTCTCTCAGTTTTGTGATTGGTGAGAAGGTGGAAGCAAAGGAATGAATAAAATCTACGTTTTTGGAAATTCAAATTGAAAGAATTATTCGCCTCAGGAAGATTAAAAAATTCTTGAACAGTCCCCTCAACCTTGCGCATGGACAATCTATCAATATTCAGTTCTCCTGGGACAGTAATAGGTTCTGCCTCAGAAGCGATTTTGCCCTTAGACAAACGAAATCATTTTAAAAATCTTTTTTTTTCACGATAAACAACTACAAGTACATACCGATGACCATTGACCCATAGACCACTCAGGACAGTTTTTCTCCATATGGCATGCGCGCATAGTGATCGGTTTTGGATCTGAACACTGGTCATCTGAGATAATGGCAGTCTCCCCTCCTTCTACCGCGCGCTGACAGTGTACCCGTCTGACCTGTTTGCCTTGACCGCATGTAGTAGAGCATGCACTCCAGGCACTTACGAACCAACTACAAATGTAAAATGGACCAATACGAGGAAAGGCAAGTCAGAAAGAAATTAAAAGCAAGCTCAAGAACACTGAAGCGAATAATAACCGATTGCTTAAGGCATAAAACGGCCTTAAATATTGGAATGGGTGCGAAAAAGAAAAAGAAAAATCCCCAAAAAGGAAACAGGCCGGCCAACGGTACGAGTCTTCTAAACAAGGGTGCTCTTATTTGAGGTACACCCTAGGCCACAATGGAGAATGAGACACTGCTGACTGTCAGACACTCGAAAAAAACCATAGGAACAGTAATATTTCTAAATGTACACCGAGGCCCAAACGCAATCAACACGAAGTCTCCTGCACAATCGATCGTACAACCGCACACACGCTCCCCGGGACAGATAACCGAAGTCTCGCGTAGCATAACTTCCAGATGTCACTCAAACGCAACAGTAACGAAAGTAATTTCCAACCATAAAAATGGTACTAAGCGTGACATGAAAACCTCGTAAGGAACGAGGCGGGCACCATAGTGGGTATATGTATAAAAGAAACGCTAATTTTTTTAGCCCCAACCAGGAATCCGGTATCCTTTTGTTATGGTCTTACCTTGAGGGACAAGGTTGAGTATTACATCTTTTTTTGTGGGATGGTTTCTGATCTTCAGCACAGTCTGAGTCAGAAACTTCCTCTCCGTTGTCATCACGGACACAAAATACTCGTCTCTTTCGCTCCCCTAAATAAAAATCGAGAAAACAAACCAACAAATTGAAAGTTCATCTTTATAAGAGGCCTACAGAGCTTCTTCTCGCAAAATTTTAATTAGTATTAAGCGATGACGTTGCTCCAGTTGTTTGAATCTCGATGTAGGCGAAGAGACATGTTTTTTAGCCTAGAGAATTGATCTATGATTGCAACCGTTCGGGTTTTGCATCCTAAAAACTCTTCCAATTGTATTCAACCACATATTTTTCAGTCCATGATTTTAACATTCACGCTCTTACCTCCTGCGCACGTTTTGCTGCATTTATCAAACTCGCCAGTTCTCCAGGAAAATTGAGATGGCTTCGGGTCTATTACCACTGAGTTTGGAACAGAATATTCGTATGAAATTCCTGGGTTTTTTTCTCCTTCCATAAAAAGAACCTGTTAGAACATCTACTATTAGTTGGAAAAGTATTCACAGTGTTTTTCAAAAAGTTAAACATTCAGAAGAAGAACCACATGTGCTCAGTAGAAAGCAATTTTAAATTGGGAGGATTGGTTTTGCTTTGTTATACTTTGTTATTGGTCGAAAAAAACCTGCTCCACACCCTCTCGTCAATCATTTACAAACCTAAAATTGATCACGAATTGGTCACGTGGGTTTCGTACACGTGAAACGCAGTAATATATCCTTACGATTAATTCGCTTCCTCCAACCCAATGGCTTAGCTGATACAATTCTTCGCCGGTAATGCCTGCGAGCAAGCTCTCGTGTGGAATGGGGTCTTTCTCTCTCATTGATGCATTAATAAAACAAACGTGGTTCTGGCTTCACTTACCTCCACCTGTACAGGAACTGTTGTAGGTCCCAAAGCGAATATCCTCTCTTGTCCAAACCTGGTTCGCTCGTAAGTAAACACGGTGCCTGCAACTTTGTACTTGGCGGGATTTTTGATGAGATAGCCTCCGTTAAAGAAGTAATTTCTGAATACGTCAGAGAGAGCTGGAGAAAAAACAATAGAGAAAGAGCAAGTAAATGTGTATTCTACGTGATACATTGTAACTTATGCGACGATAATAAGCTTGACGTTTCGTTCTGATACAGAGACAGCCATATATCAGCTGTAACGATAAGTGGTTTTGTTATGGCGGATTGCTAAAACATTGACCGCGAATGTGGTTAACTCTTTACAACCAAACATCAGTGTGTATGTTCTCATTCTGTTCGTCATCAAGAGATTACAAACTGTCTGTAACCTCTTGCCTTCACACGTTTCCTAAGGCGCTGACGAGGAGAACTTGTTTTAAAATCAAGAGCTTCTTTAGTTGGTGATCACTACCTTTATTCTTGTGGCCTTCATGAGTAATTCAAGGGTGGTATTATATGGAAAATGAAATGCAAGTCACTCCTTGGGGTTAAACAGTTAAGGACTGAACGTTTGATCAGAAGTTATGGGCGTCTGATCTGTGATTCAACATCCCTCGTGGACCTACATATTTTGCTTTGTTACATATCTTACACAGGAATATGCTATAAAAATCCACAATACAGTAAAACTTTAAAATGTTTGCTCAAGATAGGTGTTTGGTCGGTCTCGTTCCCAGTGTCTGCTTTATAGAAATGTTCTCTGAAGACAGGTTCTCTAAACACGAAATATGTGAAGAAAAAAATCGAATATTTTATTTTTTCAGCTTGTTGTAAGACATATCTTCGACCTTGGGCCGACATATAACATGTCTTGCTGTACATAACTTAGCTGACGCAGCAAGTGCCCCATAAAATCGGAATTGACCTGCAGTCTATAGAAGAAAAAAAATTAAATATTTGATTTTTTCAGCTTGTTGTAAGGCATCTGTCTGACCTTGAGCCGACATGTAACATGCCTTGCAGTACAAAACTTAGCTGACGCAGTAAGTGCCCCATGAAATCAGAATTGACCCGCACTCAGTATAAAAGTTAGGTGCGTATGACTTCTCGCTCTATATATTTAAGCCAGAACACGCATATTAGCGGGTGATATGTTAGAATAGTTGACGATGAAACGTAGAAGGTGTTGTTTAACTTCACAAGTTGACAAAGTGTGACGTAGAAAAGGAAAGGCTCTAACATCTCGAAACTAGAAAGCTTGTAATACCTAAGAAATGCGTCGAGGGTGCCATTTCCTGAATATCAATATTGGTAGCACTGGCAGGAATCGTCAGAATTTCTTTATATCCTGAAAAACAATTTAACAAAACAGATAAATACAAGTGGGAAATTAAAGCACTCACTTAGAGGCTTCTCGTGTGGAAAACTAATCCTTATTCTTATAAACACCCCTACGGAGAAAGTACCCTCATTCCAACAAGCGCCCCTATTTCAATAAGCGCCGCTGTTCTGTTTCGGTAATAGCACTGTTAGAGTACATGTACATTGAGATCAACCATGGTGCATCCTTCTTTAATTGGTCACTAAAAGCCTCACGACAAAAAAGTGGTCTTCGTCTCAGTCTCTCAATTATTTATGTCGCCGTGAATGCACGGTTCTTTGATACGAAAGTTTCCGTCTTAAAATTTTGCGATGGTTGCTTGGCTAATCGTTCTAGCAAAGAAGGATCCAGGGGGCAACAAGTGCGCTAACCAGTCTTTTTGAACCTCAGTGAAATAAACATCAAAGCTTTGCTTCAAATACTTCTGTTTCGAATATGCGCCCTCCCCTGAGGTATCTAAAGTAATTAGGCGCCCAGGCACTAAATCGAATCATTACGGCACTAAAATTGACTTCTCTTCTGGGGCAGATTCGTTCATAAAACTCGTCTGATTACGGAATATTCGTCTACCGCCAGCCAGATTATACATGACTCAGAAATTTATAGACTCACCATCGCCTTCTTCCTTGTTCACCCCCTTCTGTGTTTTGCAATTCTGTCCTTTACCATTACACACTCGACATTTATCTTCTTTCGCATTGGAATTCAAAATGAGATCGCAACCAAGTTTCTACGAAAAAATAAATCATGTCTGACAGGTCAGCTTAAGCCAGGCACGTAGAATTGTCCTTACTGCACTTGCGCAACAAAACGTAAAACAAACATGCACAGTCGGCTCTAAGCGCGATGAACGCAAGTGGCAAAGTGGCTTCGTTTTAATCTTGATTTTCTAAGACAATTGAACATCCGCAGAAAAAAAATCCCCGTAAAGAGTAGGAAATAAAACCAAAAGCAGTTCAATCCAGGAGTTATTTAGACACCTAATTATAACATTTCCTTCTGATAACATGCAAACCTATGTCTGTCTATCATTTTTAAAAACTTGTTACATGTTTGTGCAGCTACTCGAGATTTCCACATGCTCATCGAGCGGGAAAAGTCGATCCATTCTCGGTCCCTGGGTTGGTATATCAGAGTGAAGCGTTATTGAGCGGCACACTTGAATTCCGCAGTGATCTCTACTCTTACAAGTATAATTGGGTGGCATCGAATTTTCCCAGCAAAATTCTGATGGTTATACTTGAACCCTTCGATGGACTTGCATCACTTCTCGAGGAGAGCTGCTATTCTCCTTGTCACTCAAACAGGAATAAGCTTTGGTTCAATGGCTTCCGGGGTCGTGCGCCGCTGACTTACAGATCCAAAATGTAGACAGACCATTGCAAACTTATTACCCATTAACATACCTCACATCTTCCATCCACACAAATATCATACGTGTCAATATTGCACGTTGTTCCATCCACCACTTTGTCTGCCCAGCGCATGAAGAAGTACTCTCCTTTCGGCATACAATTTAATACGCATTTTCCGTTTACTAGACAGTAAACAAAAATAAATTACTCTTACGTTTAAAAATCAAATGAAAATTGGAAATAATAGGTATGGAACACCGACACTTTTCCAAGATTTTCTCTCTCTTTGGGAATTTAAAATAAGTTCAGATAATCCAAGGGAAGGGAACTGAAAACTTTTTTGAGCAGAACTAAACCGCACCAAAACTGTTATCAAAATCCTGAGAGATATTTTTATAAATGTGTTTATTCGGGTTAAAGATTATGGCTTTTCTGAAAAACGCCCGTCTGCAGCACTTTGAACCGGCAATGGCCTAATTTATATTTTGTTTACTGTAATAATTAGAAAGATTTGATTACAGAAGCAAAATTTTCTTCCTTGTTTGAAATCATACCTGGTATATATGGAACCCATTTAAATCTTTGCCCATCCACTATCCGATTGTTGAAGGCTTCGCATTGCTCGAGACGGAAATCCCTGGATCCTTCTGGACAATCCTAATATATAGGGGAAAATAAGAGGTGCTGGAAATTTGAAATATTACGGTGCTTGTACTCAACAAGGTATACTTAACGCATTTTATCATCAACACATCTATTTTATGTACATAAAACAGGCTTTTTCTATTCCAGAAGAAAAATGTTTCTTCAAGCGTTAAAGCTGTTGACTGTCATTAATAAATCTTTGAAGAACAAACTGAAAGTATCATAGAAACATAAAACAAAATCCTTTTTGAGAATAGTGCTAAATGTGAATCTAAACACTGGCTTCTCTTCAATCTTTCATCCCAAATGTTTTACGTCAGAAAGTTGGAAAGTTTGATCAGTTTTAATAGTGCCTTTGCCTTCATTATCTACTTAACCCATTAACTCCCGTGAGTGACCAAGACAGAATATCTCCTTACTATATCAATACAATATCAACCAGTAAGTGTTGAGAATAAAGAAAAATATCAATTTGGGGATAAGTAGTTGATCTAATACTAAATTCTCGGAACTAAAATTGTAAAAATTGTATGGTTAACAGTAAGGAGAATTGCAAGTTTGATCTGGGAGTTAAAGGGTTGATCTAAGATAAGACTGGTCAACAACTGAACTAATGATAACTTGTTAATAACGTGAAGATAAAGTAAATTTAGACTGGCATCAAGAGAATGTCAGTTGGTATTCTCTTAGTGGCATCGATTGAGAGGAAAGGTATGGAAATAACCTATTACCTGGATGTTACATGTTCTATAAATGCGGTTACCTCCTCTGCAAAAGTCATCTGGTCTGAGAAAACAAAAACAAGATAATCAAAAAAGTAAAACTTTTCGACTGCAATATTAAATCTTCAACACAATTTTTGTTTAAATTTTGGAAGTTTTGGGAGTGTGGTGGTGAAAGTATCATTGTTGTAAATTCTGGCACTGTTTTGGTCCAGATTTTTTACCCTAACTAGGCCAGGTTCCATAAATTATTTCGGGTGAAAAACAAAATCCTTGTAGTGCAACTTCTAACTCAAAAGGAATGAATGGGTACAAGTAAATTGGATGGAAAAGAGGAAAGCTTACTAGTTCGACGAGCAATCTTCTTTTTCAGGAATAAAAAAACTGCATTTTTGAGTTATCAGTACCATGGCATGAACGTAAGTTAAAGTATCCGTATATAGCTCCGATCAGACGTAGAGATCCTAATTCGTCTACCTCTCCACAGATCCACAGTTCATATAATTTTAGCTTTTTATCTGGCAAGAGCGTAACTATTTCTTTTGAATAATATATCCAGTGGATCACTCGAACGTAATGGGATGTTTGATCAAATGAGAAAACAAAGACACAAACAAACAGACAAACATTTGACTTTGTAACCTTTCCTTCTCCTGGCACTCTCGTTCTTGATAAGAAACTCCTACTCCGCAAGTTCGGGAGCAAGGTTTCCACTCGCTCCAAGGCCCCCACTTTGACGATGATCCATCGTCACCTTGAGCCTACAGACATTTGAAAAGAAAACGATTGAGAGGTACACAAGTTGGAATCATGCGATTTATGCGTAGTTACGAGAGATGTTCACCTATCAGATCACGCGGTCATTTGGCTGAGTTCGTCAGAATAATGATCTATAATCATTAGACTAGGGAGAAAAATAACGTGGAATGTTCTAATAAAATTATAGACAATGAACCACTTTATTTGTCTAGAAAAATTTTTCCCCTTTTTTGGCTCTGTCTCAGCAGCCTGACATTTACTGTAAACTGGTCGATAATGACCTGGGTACCAGCCGTCTGATTTACTAGTTGACTGGGAACGTGAAGCAGTGCTTGAGAACCCTTTTGAAAGCACGCTTACGTTGGAGACAGATGGCTGGAAAACCTTAAGTTAACTGAAACCTTCTGGTATAACTATCTGTGACTTCAAGGGAGACAAATCCGTTAATGAGAGGTTCTAGCACATCGGAGATAAATCTTTCCCGCGAATTAGAATTGGATAACAAATTAATAGCAATTGCTGTTGGTAGATGTCACATCCTTCTCTACTTTAATATTGCATGATGAACCACGATTTTTTTGGCTCTGGCCAAATGCTTCTCTTGGCCAACTGCCATTGTATATTTATTTCAGCTCATCTGATTCGCAATCATTCTATGCAGACGACACCGAAAACAGTAATTTTCTTGCAAAAGTCATTCACGAATGACCGTTCTAAAGTGCAAACAGCATTGTACTAAGATATGGCCGGTGGATGGACACTTCAAATGATAAGCTCCTAACACTGAGTTCTAATTATTTGAGATGATAATGGGGAGCAAAACCAACCACAAACGCTCTTGTTCAACTTTTACGTGATTCTACCCGTTAAATTCAGGCTCACCGCAAAGGAATCTAAAGCACGAAAATTTGAGATACTTTCGTTAATTAGAACCGTACCGACCATACCCAATCGAAGAGCTCTTTAAAGTCATTTGCACTAAAAGATTGTCAGAATTGTCTCGTCTGGAACGGGGGAGGTAAACCTTGAGAGTGCTATTTCGTTCAGACTTGCCGAATTATCACTGTACTCTGTAGCAAAGTCATAAAAGTCTTTCAGCAGTGCCCTCTTAGGCGCTAATTGAATTAAAAGGTTGTTTCGTATAGTTTACCGGTGGGAGGGAAATTTCAAGGAGATAAAAGGCAAGATAGTTTTACTAAAAAGGAGTCTAGACATTTCATCTCATGCCATTTACTAATTCCTCTGTCTCAACATTTTGTGTCTCTAATCATTATTTTCATGCCTACCGAAATACTGACGCGAAAACAGATTCCACGCGAGTATAGAATTTTCCACCCGCCAGATTAACCGTAATCTACGGACGGATTAAACCATAATTCTTCTCATGTTTGATTCGTAATCCCATAATCTCTTTGCGATTATTTTGTTAGCCTAATTGCCTGACAATTCAAAAACGAACCTGCAGGTTTTAGATACTGAGGAATAATCCGTCCAGAAGTTTTGATGTCACCCACGGAGTATAAAATACATTAATTCTGATTCAACATCCTTCGGACATGCTAGCTTTCAATGGGTTTGTGTACAGTGTTGTCTGCCACGGTTTTACGGTAATGAAATGTATGAATGCTACACTTGAATCTCAGCAACAGATTAGGCGTTGACCAACTTAGTAGATGACCTTATGAATATAGATACAACACAAAGTGCCCCTTTTCTAGAACCTTACCGACATTGCCTCCTTTCCGCAAACATAATCTTGAAATAATCAAACAATTGCCTATTAAATTAACCTAATTAACTGTTTTCGTCATCGACATCGAATCTGATGAAAAGATAGCTGATTAGGTATTCCCCACCTTTTTTTTCCAGTCAGTAAACCGCTTGTCAAAAATAAGCCGTCCCTTTCAAACATGTATGAAAATACCGAAATCTGCCCGAAACACCAGGCGGGATCACGCAAAATCCCATAAAGTACGGCCTAAGCGTGCGCGCAGAGCGCACAAAATTCGTGATCGATTCAAGGATGGTTTTTAGGTGTTTTATAAAAAGGTTTTGTTATCGCAATGAATCTAAAGACAACGATAAGCTAACAATAGATAAGAAAAGTCTTTGCTTATCAGGACATGCGAATATTCTCTTAATTTGAGTGACTGAAGTCATAAATCAACATTTCCTTCAATTCTATGTCATCAACTCGTTGTTGATATTTGGGAGAATCAATAAACGCTTGTCATTACTTGTACTCGCGTATGCGTTGAGATTATGGAAAGATTATTATTGATAAGATACATTGCGGAAGAAAAATTTCTCTCACCACACTAAATGAGCAGCAAAAGATATTCTTCAGCAAAAAGCAAACATGTTATGTTGAATTGAACAATCTGGTGCGCTGACACAAATTATCCTATTAACTCTAAACGAAGAAAAATCAGAGCTTCATGATATCGCTAAGCCAAGGTTTCGAAGGTTATCTATTACTTCACGGAGGTTATCATGTGGCTAATTTAAAAGGCATATACAAGCATATAGCTCTTAAGTACATGCCAAGGTTTTTTTGGTACAAGGAGGTTGCGTCGCTCTTTTAAACTAAGTACAACAAATGAACAATTTATTGACGAAACACGGAGACGTCGAGAACTTATTTTGACTTAGTTTTACAACAAAGATTGGATTATAAGGAGTATATGGGAAGGAAATTACCTCTAAAATGATATAATTGCTGAAAAGTTGTCTCGCGTGTCACTTTTGATAGTCAAACTTGCCTGCGAACAAATATCCGTAATGGATTAAGATGAAAAAAACTATTTGTGGGGTGCGTCAATCGACCTTTCATCTTTCGCAATTGTTATTATTACTGTTATTAATTCCAAACAGTATAAGCTTACGGACAAAGCAAATCAAACAACGTACGGTAATGTACCACAGAATTATTAAAGTTATCAAATTGTAGGAATCAATAGGGCCAAAAGATATTTAAGTGCATTTAGAACAACCTGGAAAATGAGCGAAGTTTTAATTTTCTCGTCTTCCCAGTTTGTTAGATTGTCGTTCGAGATCATAGAACCTGGCCATTTGCTTTACGAAGGTTTTTTCCGGAATTTTTGGATACTTGATATGTTAGCTTTTATCTCCGGAAACAGAAAGCTGTGGTGTCTTAAAAAAGTATAAGCCTAAAAACAAAGCAAATCAAACAATGTACGATAAAGTAGCAGAGAATTAAAAAAGCTAACAAATTGTAGGAATCGATAGGGCTAAAAGATATTTAAGCGCATTTAGAACAACGTGGAAAATAAGCGAAGATTTAATTTTCTCGTCCTCTTGGTTTGTTTGATTGCCGTTCGAGATCATAGAACGTGGCCATTTGCTTTATGAATGTTATTTTTACTGACTTTTTCGATACTTGATATGTTAGCGTATATCTCAGGAAACACAATGCTGTGGTGTCTCCAAGAAAGCTGCCTCTAATTCCTCTTTAACCATTTTAAACAGGTTTACAAAGAAAGAATGCATTGAATTGTTAGCGGAGGCTCAAAAGGAGCCTTTCGTTTAACCAGATTCTTTATTTGATGCCTCTACGTCCGGAAAATGTCGAATAGCTAAATAAGTTTTATCTTCGGCTTTAAAAGAAACTATCTCATAGTTTTTCGTGTGGAGAAATTTCCTCTGAATTTTCCAAAATCGTCGCGATGACAAAAATCTTCTCTATCTCCAGGCATTTAATTTTTATCTCCTTAATGTTCATCTCACATGTCCTATATAGCAGAGGATGTATAATTCAATACTTCGTCGTAGTTAAAGCAGTTCTCTGTAACGCATGACTGATTGACCCAAAGCATACCAACTTCTGAACACTTCTTAAAATTCATCGATGGGGAAAACTGCTCATTTCCAACGACCGAATTAAATTCTTTCACAAGGTGCAACCTTTGCGTGATTCCTATTGAGTATCAGCCACTTCAGGGTTTAAAATCCCCTTTTCATCCCTACCTGTCGAGATTTGCTTTCAAGTTTAGGGTGAAAAATCCTCTTTGGGTTTTTTTAATTACCCAATAAAGATAAATTTAAGGCGTGCGTAGCTTTGTTGATGTAATGATATAGGGAGAACACTTGTGTTGTTGTCTGACAATACTTATTTTTAACTTTCCTTAGACATGAACACAAGGTATCCCGTTGTGAAGAATTTCAAAATTTCGAGGTTTCAAAGGGTGGAAAGTATAAATAAGGAAACGTTTGTGACAATTATGGAAAAGGTAACTAACGAAGGTCGCAAACTCATGGCATTTTGGCAATTTGACATTTTCCTCTTGACAGTTATACAATTAGCGCTCTCGGCGAAACTGTTTAGGAATGAAAGACAACCCGGCGATGTGCTTCTAATAACCACAGGACATGGGTCGATAGACAATCCCTAACTTGAATTTTAATACTGCGGTTTTTGACTGCGTTTTCGAAACGAAGCCCTGGAATGCAACATGGGAAAGACTTCAACATTGTTCGCCCTTCGAGAATATTGTAACACCTGTAACACTTCAATCACGCGAGGTGCAGTTTTCCAGATTTAAAGTTGAAATAGATATCTTTTAAACACCGAGAAAACATCTTCTCACGGAGCTTTAGGAGAACAACAGTTTGGTCAATTTTACAGGATATGTTCGGGCCTAGAATAGCATCATTAGAGAATTTTGAGCGCGCCCTCAATGAATTTGACAGGGTGTTGTAATCATTGGCAATTTTTTCGTACAAAGGTCATGATTCAACCCAAAGGTAATCAGTTCCACACGTAAAAAAAAAAACAAAAAAAGAACAACATCGGGGAGTATCTCTGCGTCTCGCCTATTTTGGATAAATTAAACTTTTCAAGAACTAGATGTCTAAACCGTTCACAATTATAATTGGAACGGCGGCGTTTCGTTGCAATTCAAGCGTCAATTTTCATGGCAAACAGTATAATTCCTGTTTACGTCCGGCTTCCCTTTTGAAAACTTCTTATACCAATATTTTCGTTTTCCACCCCCCAAGTGGGGCATTAGAGGAGTAAGTCAACAAAATACCAGTGGGAAAAATCCCTTGTTTTGTCGCCTGACACCCCCTCGTCGTTCTGAGAAAAACGACAATCTGGCCAACATTAACCCTTAGTTTGACTATATACGGGAGCTCGAGGACAAAATTAAATCAGACAGTGTAAGTTACGGTTAAATCTGCGGGGAATACATGACTATACAACATTACTACGGAGAAACTGTGATATTTCTCACCTCTGAACCGGTTGGCGCCAAAAGCCAACACAAGCCGGCAGAAAATGACAATAACCAGTGCTGGACCTTCATGATGACGTTTCACTGAAACTGGACAACACAAACTCATTCGATCGTGAGAATCTAAATGTTGTATAGTCGAGTAAACTGATGAAAGATAGTTTAATTCACACGTAATAATCTAAACAGAAATTTACCAATAATTATCATTCACCACTCATAAGAAGTTCACGCGGCAGATCAGTTCGTTCTTTTGGCTAATAACCTAAATAAATGTGACGTGATCCTCAATTTTGAAATCAACCCTTGTTATGCAATTAAAAACTGTGCACCTCTCGGTCAGAACGTTTGTGCCGCACTGCTTCTCTGTTCAACTTCTATATAACCAACGCAAACTGTATGCAAATCCTTAAACTCATATCTCGTCCCGAAGCATTAGAGGATAACTTTCAGCTATTGCGATGACACGTGCTACAGCGCGATTTGGGACTTCCGATCGCGCAAAATAAGCTGAGGAAATTGAAAGCTTAGAACAGAAATTTACTGATCTAATCAGTAACGAAAATAAATGTTTCTCATGTTTAGCGACAAATGAGGTAAATCATCCAATTGCGCACTTCTGAAGGCAGAAATTACCTTCAAGACGAGTGAAGAACACAACTTTTTCCTTACCAGCTCGTAATTTACGTTTAGTTGACCAAGGAAATCAACAGAGTAATTCTGGAACGAGGAGTCGGCTGTCCTAAACTCGTGAGTCGCTCAGTTGAATTTTTTAGGTCCTTTAAAATAAACGCATATTACCTGGTTTAAGCATTTGAGAGAACTGAGAGTAAGAGTGAAAAATTTAAATAGAAAGGGATTTTATGTCATAACAGAAAACACAAAGGCTATCTCACACACCTTTTCCGGAGCATTGAACCGTTTCAAGAGCTTCTCCGACCCTCACAGCCACATTTATGTGTGTCTGACTAATGTCTCCAGAAGTTTTGAAACCGAAGATGGGTGTTACGATTCACGATATTCAAAATATGTTCATCATATTTGATTCGATCATTGAAAGGTTCTTTCATGTCTCGATTATCTCAATTAATGTGTAACGTCAACATGTTGACATACAAGACTGTCGTGTCCTTTCTCTGTGTTTGGATAAAACCACAAACATCCAAGGCTTGTAGTCTCATGTTATTGCGAGGGACGGAAATTATTACGGTCTACTTAATCTGTTACTATTTTTTCCCGCTGCCTTTCCTAAATTAAAATTCCCGAAGACTTCTTTCACGAGTTTTTTTCTCCCGCGTTACAGATTTTCCACTTCAAGCCGCGGTAGTATTATCGATTATCATTCTCTTTCATTTTTGTTCGAGAGCTTCCAGGGTTCTCCCGTCTCCTGTCTCCTGCCATAAATACACAATCTGTTCAGTTCGAACCTCAGACCTTCAGATTCCGCGCTCTGATGCTCTAACCACTGAGCCACAGAGACTCCGCAGAGAGAATCATCTTTTTCTATTTCTTTACCGAGCTGAAAACTTACCATCTCTCTTAATTCTATCAACAAGGAAATTCATTGAAAATGCGCAAATTTTCTTTCGTAAACGGAGTCATAATTTACAGTATGAGCATGATTTCTCTCAAGCATAAAAAAAATCCACCCTCTAAACCCGCAAGCGGTAACAGGAGTTCACGTACGTGCTGACTCAGAAATATGATACATGTTAAGACAAGAGTACGCACTTTTTCACGGCCAAGTTTGCGAAAGCAGCCCCGCGCTTTCCAGAAGTTCAACCAGCACGATTCGAGAAATGTCATGTGAAAAGAACTCTCGAGAAATGACGCTTAAACATTTCTTGATCAGGTTCAAAGTTTTTTTTTGTGTGGCATTAACAACAAGTTGGCTGAATAAGTTTTGAGTTTTTTACATAGAACAAGAAGCATTGGTAGATAAGAGGATTTGTCATATTTTTAACCTCTGTCAATAATTTGGTTCTAACAACTAGCATTCTATTTTAGTCGAGTACTTCTTCTAAAAAATATTTTAAGTGCTAGGCTAGTCATTTTCTAAGAATAACTAATGAACTTCGGCGACCACTTTGTAGAGAGATTTATTGGCCTGTAATTAAAATATGTAATTTGAATTTTTAATGATCGTGAGTTTATCTTATCTCATCATCTACAAGAGCAATTTTTATTTTTTTAGGTCCTTCCTTCCTTTTACTTCCGGGCATAACAATTTCATGAGAAAAATCTCACCTTGAAGCCATAAAAAAATACAAGATTATTTTAAGCATTACAAGGTTTGGTAGTTTGTTTCCACTGGTTCCATCAGTAAGTTTTTATTTGAGTAATTCATCATTCCTTTCAATCAGAAGCCGACTCAAAAAAATTATATTTCTTGGTGACAAACGTAATAAAAAAAAGAAAAAAAACTAGAGTTAATTGAATTATGATGTAATCTATATCGGATATTAATAATTATTTTTTCTTATCGCAGTTTATCAGAAAGAATTGTAATTAAAACAACGCTCCATTCACACCCCTGAGGACAAAACAACAAATTACAATTCATTAGATATGATAACCCTATATTTCCTTGGCTGTTCCAATAACCTACAGGTCTGTGTGGTGGATGATTGAATTTCGTATACTATATGTCGTATTTCCCGACAATTGACGTCAAAATACACTGAAGAAACAGAACATTGAAGAAGTGACACATCCGCCCACGATCTTAAGAACATACTTTCCTCTCTTTTTTTTTGGCACACACCTCCGATCTGACATTATTCAAACGCTTTACTTTTGTTCATTCCAAAAAAAATAAAAAGTTGTGCACCATGTTGTACCAGATAAACAAAGCGAACTTAAACACGTATAAATATTGCAGAAAGTTTAACCTCGGTGCTACATTAACTAACACCGCCAGGAAATGGGTCGAGTTTAGGTGTGGGCCAATAACAGCACCCAAAAATTGATAAATAATCGAATAATTATTTTTGTACATTAAAAAACAATGTCTTTCCATTCAGCTTCCTTAGAGTGTCAATGATGAGGCTATAATCTTCAGTTTACGTATTCAAAAATAACACACGCTGGGGTTTTTTTTTTTTGCCATTTTTAAATAGCAAGGCGTGATTGGTGACCAGACGGGCTGACGTTCAAGATAATTTGTAAAAAATGAACCTCGTCTGCATCAGTTTTTTAAAATAAATAGAAATAATTTTTTTGAAAAAAGGAATTTCGGTAACTTTAATACTTATGAGTCTGTAGACTGAATATTTTGTTCTTTTCTGTTTTCATTCTTAAAGCTTCTCAAAGTTATACTACGGAATACTAATTATATTACACAGAATACTAATTATATTTCAAAACAAACTAGCAGGAACTGTTCAAGAGAAACTTTAGCAGCTTTAAAGGAAGAGTTTTTATCACTTTGATGGTGGAATATTCCCTTTGAAAGTGGACGTGACAACAGATATCAAAGCATGAAAAGGTTCAAACTGAACAATCGAGAGTCATGAGACGTCGCGATGTTGTCGCGACAAAAATTCAGAACATCCAGACGAACAGGTTAAAGTATAGCTTCGTGGCAGGAGCCCATTACCATTATGGGCTCCTGCTTCGTGGTTATACGAGACCATGACAATAATTACATGAGAACCTAATCAAACCAGAAACAAGTCGACTCTCTGTTTAAATGTATTTAATAACATTTTAAAGTGAAACTTTCCTTTCGATTACATCGTTTCAACTGTTTCCATTTGTCTATCCGCCATTTTGAATTTTTACGCAGGTTACCGCTGTGCACTGTTCGTTATTCCATGTTCCTCGTTTCCCCGTCATTCTTTTCTTCAGTAACGTCTTTCCATGACTTACCACAACATATTTATTCAAATATAAAACTCAACACCTTTCCTATTTTAAAATCACCGTGACATAATTGCTCATGGGAGGACAAAGGCGACAGCCTTGAAACAATAGTCGTGCATGAGACCTCTACCGAACAGACAGTGCGAGACGAAATTTGTTGATGTCAATGATGAACTACAAGAAGTTGCTCAGGATCAGGAAGTGATTATTCCGTCTAAAGAAGCAAGTCAAATATCAAAAAAATTCATTATTACATTAATTGCATTTCTAAAACGATTAAAAATTTATGCACCTGTTCCTCTATTTGCGCGCTGAAATTAACCAAGCGGACACCGAGGGTCTCAATGGTGTGATGGCTTTTACGGCTAATGGTTAAAATTTCGCTATTTTACGGTTAATGATTAACATCTGACCATTGTTGTCACCAGATATTTTCTTACGGTTAAATTTTGTTCCGAGCAATGATTAAAATTAGTCTATTTTTACGCCTGAAGGCAAAATTTTTAGGCTGTTTTACGGCTAACGGTTTACCCCATTGTGATTCCCCAATCCCCCATCCGATTGATAAAGGAAAAGAGCCCCCAGTCACTCTCCAATGGAGCGGAATATTTACTAGATAAAACCCTTTATTTGTGTAAACATGTCTGTTGTGTTTCATGCACATCAATACTTAAATCGAATGCTCGTGTTTTCAATCGGGATATAACCATCAAGCGCAGGAGCACTATGCCAACTCTCAGCTTAATTCATCCTTGCGTCTCGCTCTCCACACCAAGTAATAGTTGATTACCAGAGTCCAATTTCTTAATTGGGCACGGGCCCACTTCTTAATAAATCTGACAGAATTAGACAGCTGAATTGGGGCTTAAAGTATAAACACGTCGTCTCTTTTGAAAGTTTTCAGTGATTATTATATTATTTTACAATCAAGTCGTTATCTTAGCACAAAGAATCGCCCCAAAGAAGACCCAAGTCTTACTTCGAATATCAAATATCAGAGTTTGAACTTAGGACAATAATTGGCCCATTTTCTCTTATGATAGTGACACCGATTCCACCAGTTGTAAGAAAACAAAGAAATGTATGCATAATATATTCAAGTTCTACTGGCAACGTCGTCTCTAACAGAAAAATGCTCAGAACCGAGTAAAATTTGGAAACTGATTTAGATACAAAGCGTGGAACTCACTAAAACTATAACGAAAGCTCTTTTATCGAACACGAATAGATTTTTGCACACAAAGCAGAGTAATTGTTTCAATTCATTTACTTCAGATTTACATCTTTGAATATTCTTTCCTTACTTTCTCTCAACATATTGCATACATTACCATGCGCTAACGCTAACCCGAAATTTGAAAAATAATGTAAATAAGATCTACAATAGGCGACTCGTTCTTTCCAAAGGGTGTTGAATTTCCTAGCAACACGCATCGTATCATTTGAGCGTTACGCACAATTCGCAAGTCATCAATTTTCTTTCCCACATTTTGCTCTCGTCGCTCTGTTAAGAATTCGAAACTTCAACCAACATGACTGTAAGACGAATGCGAATGACAAGGATTTTAAAATCTATCCCATTACTAATATGTCTGCTGGTGCTGTGTTTGATCGCTTATTTTACCTTGGAGTCGTACTCTACTGAGCAGGTAAATATACGAAAGACTCAACAAACTGATGAAGAACAAGATTTTAGTAATTTGGAAAAGGACCTGACTGACTCAAAAATGGAATTCAATGATGGATCAAAAGCAGCAAGGAAAAATCTTATCGTCGTTTCACACGGTCGATCAGGTTCCACACTCATGGGGGATATTTTCAATCATCATCCTTCTGTATTTTACATGTATGAGCCTTTACAGTCCGTCGAAAGAGTCCATACGAATCTGAAGCCTGAATCGGATTACAATGACCTCGCCAAAGAGTTTCTATCTGGCATTTTTCAGTGTAAATTCGACTCTCCCGAATTATTAGCGGATATCGAGCATTTTTATCGCAAACCGGATCATCCACGTGTCAGTAAAGCCATTGCATCGCCACCTTTATGTCCTTACAGTACTTCTGATGAAAGGTGGGATCAACACCTTTGTCCTGCCATGACTAGCGAGTCTTTGGGAAGCACGTGTAAAGAGCATTACGAAATGACAGTGTTAAAGGTCCTCGTAAATCGTGTACCCGATAATAACATCGGAAGTATTTTAGGAGCATGCGACACAATGGATACTAACTGCAGAATTATATTCCTCGTAAGAGATCCCAGAGCTGTAATCGCTTCCGCGCTCAGCGTGGGGTTCTTCAAAGACAACCGGGGAGATTCTTCAAGGCTGGGAACTCGAGAATTTAGCTACTGGACCTGTAAGGAGACTGAAGACAACTTGGAATCTATAAGAAAACTGCCGAAGTCTCTGCGCAACCGGATCAAATTCCAACGCTACGAAGACCTAGCACTGGACCCGTTGAAAGAACTTTCAGCTCTCTACGAGTTTGCTGGGTTGTCTGTCCTGGATAGTGTGAGGACTTGGCTTAACGAGACAACACGGCAGAGCAGGAGTGCCTGTAATCATGCACAGGACGGAGAACAAGCTACATGCACCAAGGATGACGCATGGCTGGCAGCAAACCGCTGGAGATGGAAAGTGCACCCTCATGAAATTGATGTTATTGAACATTACTGCCGAGGTGTGATGCTTCTAATGGGTTACAGACCTGTAGACAGGTCACATGAATTACTGGCTAATGTAAAGATACCTCTTTTCAGCCGCAATTTTGAAGCAAGGAACTGGTTTTAACGTTGAAAATAGTCTGCGCAGGTTCCTCCATCGTAGGTCTGCCTACAGAATTAATTGCACTGTTCTTAAATTCAAATTTAAACAAGCTTTTCCGAGTCCATGGAATAAAATGTTACATATGTAACGATACTATGGAAGGAAAATTGAACAAATGAGAAGAGTGAGCAATTCGACACCTGCACCACCACGGAGCCATGTGACAGCCTTTTACACAATTAAAATGAATACATACGTTCTACAGCGTGTGAACCATAGGGATCAATCTGGATCAACGTAGCAGAAGCGCCAGACTAGTGTCTGAGAGGCAAGGCTCGAATCCACTCGAAGATTTTATTTTCTTTTTGGAATCGCAGCACTACTCCTATAACAACATTCTGTGATTCCTTATCAATCATGAAACAAAACAGAAAGCCTGCTGAGTCTAATTATCTTTTTTTCACGAACGACCGCACCAAACTTATCACAATGTGCATGCTCTTAAATCTCCAAGCGACTCGTTAAACCTTTTCCTCACGGGCAATGAAATCGATAGGAATTAAAATTTAATTTAGGGAAAAATAATGTGGAATCGGGGCTAACCACGTCATTACTTAGGACAGCGAAAAACTAAGTGAACTGAAAAACACACAGTCTCTCTCTTCTTATACTAAACATTAAATGTTTTCGAACAGTAATAATGGTTTCATCTTGCTTTTTCCTGATGAGCCATTAGGACGTCTGCAGCAGGAGTTGGTAATGTTCCCTTTATAATTTTTCACTGTACGTTGAAGTTCAGTGAGTTGTCTCTCATTCAGTCCACCTGTTTCCACAGTTAACCGCTGTACACACATAGTACAATCTCATTTGCTGTTAAAAAACAATGAGAAAAAAGGATATGTTCAGATTGGTTCACGCAGAAGGTTGAAATTTCAAAACCGAGTTTACCGGGACTTGATTGGGAAATATGAGAAAAAAATGGATAGATAATACGTACTGAATATCAACAGGTTGGTTAGATTAACAGTAGATTAAAAAAAAACTTACATCTGCTTTGCTGGATTGTGATTGGAAAAACACTGCCTCACTGTGACCACATCTAAAACAATAAAAAATGGTCAAAACAGAGGAACATGTGTATGTATTAAATCAGTAGGAGGCATAGAGGTCTAATGTTAATCAGTTGAACAGCTGATCAAATATTCAGGGTTTGGGCTGAGACTGGGCCACTGTGCTGCTACACTCTTGAGCAAGACACTGTTCACTTACAGAGCCTCAGTCCAACCAGAAGTATGGATGGGAACCGATCAATGAATTGTACAGTACACACTAAGAACTCATAAATTTTGAAATCCCAGAAGACTACTTAAAGCAAAGAAACAGTTCTTTTAATTCAAGTATTGTGCTACTGTTTTAAGATAAATGTAGTTTCTCAAACAAAGGTATATGTATACAAGCAAATTAACCCTTTAGCTCTGATTGAGATCTGATTGTTAATTCTCCTTTCTAGCTGCTACACATTCCCTAGTAAACTAGTTATGTGAATTTGGTGTTAGATCAAGATAACCTCTACTTGACAAGTTTGAGTAATCTCATTACCTGTTTGCTGGATAATGTATGGATATTATTTGGAGAAGTGACATGAAAATCACTTTTGGGAGTTAGATGGTTAAGTAACTATGACAAATGACTCTATGAGCAACAGGTAAATAGTTGTTAACCCTTTCACTCCCAGATCAAATTTTTAATTCTCCTTGCTGTCAACCATACAATTCTTATAATGTTAGTTCAAAGAATTTAGTATTGGATCAACTAATTATCCCCAAATTGGTAGTTTTCTTTATTCTCATTGCTTGCCTGGTTGATATTGTATTGATATTGTAAGGAGAAATTCTGTCTTGGTCACTCATGGGAGTTAAAGGGTTAACCATGACAAGGCATGGTTACATTGCAGCATTTAGAATGACTCTGTGTACTGGTTACACAGTGGTATAGAGGTATAGTTTTGACCCCTGATAAGCCACTGTGAAGCAAAATAAACCACTAATTGTAAATTCAAATTTTCACTGGATTGCTGTGAAATTTTCCCTTGCTTTGTTTAAAAGTCAACTCATTCTATTTATTTATTTTTTTAAACAACCAATAGAAAACAGTTTTTGTGCCAAATGGAAGTTCACTCACTTGGGACATAAATGGTCCTCTGTTCTTGGTAATGTAGGATCAGCAACAACATCTGTTACAATCTGTGTCAGTTCACTGTATCATAACACAAATATATGAATGTGGGAGTGTTATGATTCATTTGGAAAGATAAGAACACTGACTGATCTAAACAGACAATTTGTGTGACCAAAAGCCAGTTGGTGTATCCAGGGATTGAATTTGTCTCAATTATTTCTCCACGCTATGTATTTTGGCCCAATTATGAGGGACCAAACACACTTATTCTCCAACTGCACTAAACAGAGTATGAATAACACAAGAATCAACCACAAATATTGAGCAATATAGCAAGTTGTTATCTGGAAAGTTCTTTTTTTGTGCATAAAAAAACCTGTTTGACAGGTTGGCCACTCTTGTGTTATTTGTTTCAAAGGAATACACATCATTGTTTGTATTTTGACTCAGCCTGTGAGATTGTCAAAATATGACACAACTAGTAAAATTATTCAGCCATAGTACACTCTAAAAAATCTAACAAGAAATATGTCACAGATGTCACGAGTTCAACTCCTATACAAGCCTGCATTTCTATTTTTTCCAGCTTTAATTTTTTAACAATTGCTTAAGTAGTGCTCATCACTATCAAAATTAATCTCACACTTAAGATATATATAGTCAAAATTCCTGTTCAAAATTCCTTGCACCTGATAACAAGCTTTCATAAAAAAGAGTTGAATGCATGTTGCATTTGGTCTAGCTATGGCCCATGATACTTACTTGACTTCATGAGTGATCTTGTTCACATAGATGCAACTGTTGTCGGCTTCTTGCTGATAGTCACAATTTCTACACTGAGAAAGGTATCCCCAAAGAAAACTTTATAAAACATTTTCTACATTGTGAAATCAACATTAAACCAGTGGTTTAATATTAGCCTGTTGGTGGCAATCCACAGATTTTAGAACAGCAGACCATATTCACTCTGACGAAGGGAAAAGATTAGAAAAGGCACCTTTCACACTCTTTGCAGTGGCCAATTTACATTATCAACTCAATTGATAATGCGAAATTACTTGTTACCCTCTGTTTGGCCTATGAGTAGGGGCTCATGTTTAAGCTTCACCTTAAGACACTTCCACCTATTACAACATCAGCTGCCACTTAAGGAAAGAGTTGCTGAAACTCTTGTAAAAACAAAGGCAGGGGGAAGAAATCTTACAAATTTCATGTTCTCTAATGCTTCATAGTGATGTCTCTTGTTTTAAGCTGTATTTCAAATAACTGAAAGTGGGTTGTTGGTTTGTAAACTGCAGATCGATGATTTCCAATTACCAGTAGATACATTTCAACCCAGCAACAGGTTCACATGGTAATTATATATTTTAAAAACAGTAATGTTTGAGGACACGTGTAGATGAGTGTACTTGAACTGCTACAATTCCTTTTAACACTGAATATTTTGCCATGCGTCAGAAGCTATATGTAATAGACAATCTGTGAAAAACAATAAAGTTTTTCTTGATGTCGATCGGCCATAATTCCGCCGAATGGCAGAAAGTTCTCAGGAAATGAAACTTTAACTTACTGCATATAACAGTATCTTGTTATCTTTGTCTTCCTTTGGGTACAACATGTTGTTGCTACAAAGGAAAAGAATTAGTTTATCCATAAGCTTTTACAAGTTAAATTTAACAATCGACAAGCAAATGAAACATAAGAATGATTTGTAGGTAATTTACCAAATACCCAGCGCAAAAACACAGTCTTACCATTCTTGGCAAAATTTAATGCCCACAAAACCTGGTCCATTATCTGAATGACTTCGAAAACTCATTCTCAAGAAGAATATTTAATGAGTTACTGTAACACGCGATTCGACATGGGGAAAATGAAGGATCTCACAAAATGGCGACCAGAGGAGTGGGAAACTGGGAACTCCACGTAATAAGACCGCTGACTGCTTGCTTGGCCTCCCAGGTGTCGAGCTCTTTACTATAAGAGACGCTCACGCCTACAAGACATGGTGAATTCCTAATCGCACTTGTGGGTCAATACGAGGGAAAACGTAACCCAAACGAAAAATGCAATTGGTGGAAGAGCAGGCGAATGCCACTGATTCGACTTTGGGTGTCAGTGGCCATGTGGGGCGCGGGGAAACGCCGGCTTGCAGACACATTTTGTCTCTAGCTCGCAGCGAAGTAACCTTTTTTACATAAGTGGACGGGATATTCTCGCTATCTTGCTTCGAGAAATTTCTAAGGGTTTTGCGTGCGGTATTGGATGCGAGTTAGACAGCAGTTCAACCAATAGAAGTGGTCAAATTTGGGGTGCAGAGTTATACTGCAAGAATGGCCCCAGGGGGAAGTGGGTAAGTTCATCATTACTTGGGAACAAATACACTGCGAATTACAAGTGAGACAACTTATTGAAAATTCAGCTCTGCTGTGCTCTTTCGTAAGCGTCCTCGCTTTTTCCAATTGTATTACGTCACGAGAAAATTTCCCGCATGACAATCCTGTTCTGTAAATTCTAATTTTACTGTATTCTCCTTTTTATATGTTCAATCAGAAATCTCATTCATCGAGATATGATTATTTCACGTTAGAATTAAACGTATCGTTATATTTGTTTTGTCCACGTTCGGAATAAAATGTTTGTACCATGTGGACAAGCGATTGATAGGCAATTGCTATCTTAAGGCGCTGTCCATTAATCATTCACCAATCAAACATAATAATCTCTTCCTAGTCTATGTGTGAGTTGAATCCTAATACGCTGTTCGACATACGAAACGAGGAATTAAAAAAATTGTTGGAATCGCTAAGAGCTTAAATCGGTGCGCCACCTTGTTCATCTCGAGGCCGGTTGGCTCACTGAACGATGTTCCGCGTAGATCACGGAACTGAGGCGGCGCAAGCTAGATCTCAAATTTCCCGGTAGTAAAATGCTTACACTGCAAAAAAACGGCCTCACAAGGATAACAGGGTAGAAGATTGCAAAAATGTTAGTACGCTGTAATTCTATTCTTTATGAATGTTTCTAATAATTAGTTTTCAAACGGGTATTCCCAGAGTTTCTTGGTGTTCTGGAGGGTTAGGACTTTGAGCCACTCGCTGATGAAGAACCGTTAATGGGTGGTAGTTTAACAGTACTTTGTCTGGGTTTTCCTGTTGAGCTGTCTGCCGCTTGAACTGGTCCGCTGACCTGAAAAACAACAAATCAATGACCCATGAGATAAAAACAAATCGCCCTTGTTCACTACAAAATACTTAACAAAAATTCGAGCCATGGAGCAATTCCGTTTACGAGTAAAAAAGTATTAATAGATTGGCCTAAACAACATACTTCCACAAAGTGTCCCAATACTGGACTACTGTATTCACCGTGATCTGATTTTTAGATAAGGCCTCATCCGTAGATAGATGGCAGATATCTTTTACACAATCCAAACGTGAGCTATGCGAGACGCCTTCTAATGTAGCAATTTGCTGATCGTTTTCTTATTCTTGGTTTTTGGATATGGTTTGAAGAATTGGCCAGGTGACATCTTGTAAGTGCGAGGTAGCAATAATTATCAAGTCTGCCGATTGAGTCATCTTTCATCTCTTTTCCTCAAGGGATGACCCTCGAGACAACTCGTTATACCTTTCTCTTTGTCTCGTTGGTACTTGTCACGGGAAATCTCTTCTTTTTCGATGTCATTATATCCACAATTCTTTGCAATAGCTTGTGGTTTTGTTTTTCGATTACAGCCTGTCGTTGCTCTTCGGCCTGTAATGATCAAATGAGGACTACAGAAAATTAACATTCATCAGTGACTGACGAAAACAGCCAGAGAGTGCAGTCGCTCTAAAATACTTAAATGATCTCTGTTTAATGGTCTTCCTTTGGACTTCCAAAATATGAAATTCTCTCTATTGAACAGTCACCATGTTAAATTAGTACCGAGAAAAGGGAGATGTGTAAGTATTAAAATTCTCATTTTTATGTCCACTCTAGCTGACGCTAACAAAGGTTGGCAGTCAGGAAAAGAGAAAGAATTGACACGCAACCAATGAGATCTCAAAGTAAACACAAGAAAACTTCCCGAAGTGCGGAAAAACTTAAGTAACTAAATCGCGATCTATTCTAAGTCAGTCATCGGATTGCGATGATTATTTGAGAGTGAAGCGTGACTTTTTTGGAACAATCACAGAGCGAAGAGAGACAAAATCAATATAGTCCCGAGTTATTTTCAACATTCTATAGAAAATTAAGAAAGCTCACCATAATCCGCCTGAATCTCATTTGCATCTGGGCCTCTTCGTCGTTAAACTGAAGTGTGGTTTCTCCTTTTAACGTAGATTTTGTCTCTTTAAGCTGCAGGAGAAAAAGCACTTTAAAAATACAACGACAATGAAAATACTGAACGCCGCTTTGACTGGTAAATTATTTATGCAATCAAAGTCCTTTAAGCTCCTTTTAGTGCTTGTCGACATGCGTGAAGGTTTCTGTTTGTACCAAGCGCGCGCTCATTGCGTAAGTCTAGAGAGATTCAAAATCTAATGTAGATTCCTCTGTTTTGAGAAATTACTCAAATATTTGGTAAGCATGTCAAGTAGAACTTTTGTAGAAACAATTCCTTAACAACAATTTTCAAGGGGAAGACGTGTTTTCGAGGACTGAAGTTCTATAAAAACACCTCATGGTAAACCACAATCACAACTGCATTAACAAAGTAAACAAGGTAATGAAGGGATAACAAAAGCCAATTTTCAAAGATTCATGCATAACCTACAGTACCTTAAATGAAGCTCTCTTATTTCCTGAGGACAAACCTCACACTCATTGACTTTTCTAAAGTAGATAACAACTCTTGACATTGTAAGGTTTGCTTGTTGTTACTTGACACAAACACCAAAACATACACACGAAATTACAACACCGACAGGATTTCTTTACTTTGATTCCTTTAATTGTTTCTCCCTCAAGTAAAAGATGAATTGATAATGTTCTTACTCTCTGTCGGTGTTTTTCGTAAGTCATCTGCTGCCATTTCTTCTCCAAAATGTTTCCCGACTGTGCCATCTTTGTCACGTCCGTTGGCAACTGAGTTGAGAATGCACGCGAAGTTGTAATGGTTTCCTGAAGTAGATCCTGAAAGTACGGAAATACCTCTGCCGACAAACTTCTTGCGTTGCAATTGTTTATCACCCGAACGCAATATAAACAGCAACGTCTGCCCTCAACATAGCTGCGAATGGAAAACTCGAATTGTTATATCACCTTTCGTAATTTAATTAGTAGAATACCTAACTCCTCAGTTTAAACAATCCTCAGACAATGCCACTGTCCTTGCTAATCCATTGAATTCATTGTATCTTTAGAAACCAGAGTATTTCATAAACACATTTCACAAACCTACATTGTCTTGCAAATTTTTTAGTTTGTAATTAGAGATGCCAGAAAACTATGCCGTATACTTCCGGCACTTTGAGAAGTAATCTATAAATTGTTGTGTTGTCTACATGAAATAAATACGGTTATTCCTAAAATCTATGCAATCTGTATGATCTCACATTTTTTTAAGGTAAACAAAGAGATTTGAGAGGAGAATTATCCGTCTGAAGTGATTTTGAAATTGTGAGTAATTTGTACAGATTGACAATTTATAAACAACATAAGTACACTTTCAGGAAATGAAAGCAGATTTACGGGAAGCACGTGAGACTGGCATAGAAAGTTGGCGCCGAATATACATGCGTTCTGGCATGGCAGAAAGGATTTTTGTTTCCAAAAATATGCGTGTAACTACCACGAAAATTCGTCACACTTCCTAGAAACTGCAGCATACTCCGGAAATTTGGCCACTAATTCGACCATGAGTTCTTATGACAGCTGATCAAAGAAAACAATCTTATTTTTTTTTTCGCTTTAATGGCGGTTGTGCAATGCGTCCCTCAATTTGTGGACATGATTAGGACACGGTCAAACTTGAATCCAGCGCCCATCCTTGAGCAGTTTTGCGACATCTTAGAAATGGTATCATCAAAGTTTAGAACTGGTTTGTTGTCCACCAGATGTTTTTTTATTTGTTTTTTTTCCTCAGCAAACTCTCAGAACTTTGAAATCGATGGTCCTTCTTTGGGGACATGGGCTTAATCCAAAATGCCAAAACATTTAAAAATGGACTAAGGAGAAAATGGAGGTAGTGCAGCCACCAGATATTGCAAAACCATAGTCTAACATAGAAACCACATTTTTAAGGCCTCCCCCCCCACACCCCTCAGGACAATAGAGCTATTTCCTGTTGAGTTCTCCCCGCTCCTCCCCCCATATATTTTAAGGCCTCCCCCTACCCCTCAGAGTAATAGAGCTATTCCCTGTTGAGTTCTCCCCGCCCTTCCCCCCATATATGCATCGTGCTACTCTCAAATCTAGAGGGTCATAAAAAAAAACTTTAACAACGTTTTATAAATATCTCCTTCTAAAAGAAGATCTTGTGCTTCCTCGAATCACTTTTCCTAACCAAAACTTCGCCGAAAAGTCATATTTGCAAACCCGCCTAGAGGATCAAGAAAATCAGGTAAATAGCTCTCTCAATAAACCAATTTTCTAGCAAACTAAAAACTTAGTGTCTTAATGTATAATGATAAAGACAAACACCGGAACTAAATTTGAACACACTGAAAAAAAATTTAAAAGGTTACCAACTATTTGTTTGAGAGTTTTCCGAAGTCCGCTGGACCAATGAATAGCACACTTTTCTAACCGTTAAGGAGAAAAAAAAACCGCAAGTAAAGATTATCTTTTTCTCTAAAATTTTTTACAAATTTTGCTCTTTCTCAAAAGCGATATTTTCAAAGGCTTTGTTTGTTGGTTTCAACTTCATTTAATTAGACTCGTGTTTGTATTAAGAAGACTTTAACTGCATTTGATTTACGAAGTAGATATAACGCAGGCTCCTTCGATTGTTGGTGTTTGTTTTGAGTCTTGTTAAGTAAAGTTAAACACTGTTCACCTGTTGTGTGGTGATCATATTGTTTCTTCCATTAACTTGACATTGGCACTGGATGTTTAGAATAACTGACAATCATCGAGGGTGGTTATTAACGAGTTTGACGAACCATCCAATTAGCTGCGTCATGGCACAAGTAAATCTATAGTAGGGAAAAACTTCTCCTTCAATCGCTCTGATTCAAGATGAGAGCTGTTTTTGTCAAGTCCTTCTCCTCTCTGTTCACACTCTTGCTGATAACGCCTTCTGTTTTGGCTAGGAGTTTGCATAGCAGTCAAAACAAAGGTAAGAAAGCATTTGCCTCACTTTGTAGCGAGTGCCATGAAAGCGTGATTCTTTATTTTTCTTGCAGGGCTAGTTCGTAAGAAATTAAAGCTAACAGGGTTTCCTAGACGCGCTTAGGTTGGTCAAGGATCTAGAGCCATCGTGTTTCATACTGACGGATAAGCCCATTGCTATTTTGCATACCCACTTGACCACACTTAGATTTGAGAGAACACGAGAAACCTTTGCCGTAATTATACTATGTTATATACAACAAAACTATATTTATCGTTGAGAATTAACCGCCTTAGTTATTTGTATCGTTCTTGTTTATCGATCAGGTGATTGCCGTTCTCTGAAAATGAGAAACAACGCAGAAAATCACGCCAAGAAATGTTATCCTGGGTACCCTCGAAAACAAGTCTCCTATTTGCCTTACCGAATTTGCTACCGAAGATTCTTCGTAGGTATGAAACCACCGGAAGGTTTGCGAAGAAGCAATTCGCACAATCCCAATATCAGATATATCTGTCAGAGGCCAGATGAAAAACGCAAGAGTCAATTTGGAACAATGTTTGACGAAAGTTTGGGACTGGCCGTATTTTCAGCTTACACCTTAACAACCAAAGATGTTGATTTCCAGCATCGAGCTCGCCCAGCTTCGTGGGCTAAAACACCAGGTATTTGCTTAAAATCATGAGCTAAAATAGCTTTTTTTCAGAAATTTTCAAAATGTTGGGATCCTGTCGCAAAATCAGAAGTGGCTGAGGTTCTAATCATACCGAGGGGCTCAACCTTTTAATCCATGTCCTTGCTCTCATCCACATATCTTGATGACAAATACAAGAGAAATCACGAAATGGTCCTCACAAGAGAGCTGCGTGCAATTAAAGAAATTTGCACGCTAGTTTATATAGTTTCTTGTTCGTTGGGTAAAGCAACCGATAATGGAGGCTGAAGGTAGAATCGTCACGAGAGACTCGGGTTTCTTCTTTCTAACCTCACACTATAGTCACAAATGTTTAACATCTTCCTTTATCTTAAAAAAATAGGCATTGAAAATCAGGGGAGTGATGCAATATACCCCAGCTTACCATACGTTAGAGGTCAATTGGTACCAGCACTTACTTTATCAAACACCGGAAAAGGTGACGAGGGTTGGCTATCGACTTTCACCTACACAAACGCTGTTCCACAACGGCCAGATTTTAACATGGGAGAGTGGTTTGAGTTTGAAAACAAGATTCGATCTTATGCCAGAAATGACTGCATACCGAATCATGGCAAGCTGTATCTTCTAACCGGCACGTCATTCGTTCATTCCGAACCTGACTGGCCCATTTGGCCGAGAGATCCTAAGAGACAACCTTGGTTGGCTAATATCAAAGATAATTATCTCATTCCTGATAGTCCTCCGATAGCCATTCCAGTATCTTTGTGGACGGCTGGTTGTTGTATTGACTCGAAAAATGGAACTGTGACGGGGAATTTTGCGGTGATTGGGAACAACGAAGAAGATCCTCAACTGATGCACACAAGGCAAATTTCAGTAGAACAGTTGCAAAGTATCCTCAAACAAGACGTAAAAGCAAATGAGAATTCAAACAGAGTGAAGCTCTTCCCAGCCATACGAGATTGTACGAAGGAGTCCAAAGAAATCACTTTACCATGGGCTTGAAGGGCTGCAATAGGTCTATACGTGGGTGGGGTGGGGAGAGATATGCATCTCTTCTCAGAAACTTTTCTGCTATTACACTTGACTATTACCAGACCCCAAGGGGCAAACATTTCTCAAAATTGAACCGTTAATTGTGATGAACGATCCGGGGCGATTCGAAAAGAAAACTCAAATCTGAAAAAGTGCAAAGGTTGTCAGAAAGATTTTGTGTGGTTGTATGTTACATCATATATAATAGGTCAAAGTTGAAAAGAAAAAGAGAGAAGGCAAAAAGAACACATCAAAGCTGGCATAACGTTATATATTTTCTAAAACTTTCGGCTGTAAAGTAAAATATAACTTCTATTGCACTAAATTTAAATAATGAGAGTAAGTACTATGGAATTTTAACTACAACTTAAGTTAAAATTACACCATGGAAATCTAAAACTATCTTTTTAATTCTCGCACTTTCATGCTTTACCTCTTTTCTTGTTGTCACTATTTATCATAATTAGCATTGTTCTACTTACTATATAATTCAACTTCCAACGCTTTGTACAGTAGTTAACTGAAGATGATCGAAACATGTTTTACAGACTCAAACGTTTTGTCGCTTTCTCTACATTCTTGACTTGCCTGCTAATATCAAGACCCTAAGTTACAATTGTAATGACTGTGATGATTTCTATAACTAAACGTACTTAGCTTTGGTTTTGTTTATGTAAGAACAATAAAAGATCCTTCATAAAATGCAGGGTTTCTAAATATGCAAAGTGCATGTATGGATAAATAGAATTCTTTCATTTGTGTGTTACAAACTATTAAATAAAATTTCTGAATCTACCCAATTTGATGAGTGTTTTCTCAAAGTTTGATGTAAGACTGCCTTCCTGATTTTTTTTTCTAAAAAAAGTAAATAATTTCCCTTGAAGTCTACTCTAAACATCCTCGAAACTGTCCATTGTGGAAAATTCTTTGATATGTGCACAGGATTGTCAAAGTCCATTCTTGACACAATTCAATATGGTGTAAATTTACAATTGTTTTTAACTGTTACTCAAAAGCAACAGATGGTTATTTTCCTTTTGTCGATTGCTAATCACCGACGATCTGTAACAATAGTTTTTCAAGGTCTCCTTTCAATTCGTTCTCTATCGCTGTCCTTAACGTCTGTCCTGTCTTCTTTTGATATTCTGTTTTGACCTCAGCAAGATCAACCTACACAAACAAGCAAACAAAAAAATTAACCAAAAAAGAACAAACAAAAAAGCGAATCTTAATAACAATAACGATGATGATGAAAGAGCATAAATATAAGGGCCGCGGAAACTAAGGGGGAGTAAAGTAAGCCATAATAGTAACAGTAAGCCAAGTCTGTTGGAAAGTCAAATAGAATTTACCACAAATTACAGTTTTATAAATAAGAAAA